TACCTTAACTGACTTGGATGTAAGTTTCACGAAAATAGACAATTTTCACTTCAAGAAATTTTGGCGAATTAACTCGTACACACCAGTCGTACGATAAATCTTTCCATATTAAACTAACATATCAACTATTCATATTTTTACTCCGAGGTTGTATTTTATTATGTATCATCAATAAACTATGCTTAAAGATTCGAAGATATCTTTAATATCCTTGATAATTTAGAACATAACCTAAAAGTCTACTGACCTAACGAAATTCCAAAATATCCAATATCTCAAATACAAAATTACGCACCCCACATTCACCTCTCGCTTTCCTTCATTGTAAATCAATCCCTACCATTGGTTAACCTTTCACTTGAACCGCGAGTAACTCAGGCGAGCGAGACCGGAAGTCCTTGCCAGTCAGAAGAAAGAACGTCGAAAAATTACGATTCTCCGAGCGACGACGCATAAATTACACCAGCCACCGGGTGTTCGCCGTCGAAGAAGAAACCCGGCGTTTTAATCTGCACGGTTTTCCCTATGTCGGTGGACGTCTTAGAGAGGTGTTTTGTAAAACGGAATCGCGTCTACGGGGTTTTATAGTCACCCACGTTGCAGTCGTGCCATTATTATCGTCGTATATTCTCACGTTACGGTTCCACACGACACACGGCGCAGATGCTCACTGGAAAGAAAAGCCTCTGAGTCGACTCATGCGGAAACGCTGACGACACTTCTAGCCCATGTGTTCTCCCACGCTCCACAAAAATCCACGTACAGCTGTACGAAACTTATTTACAGCCTGCCAGTCTGTAATCTCTTATTTTTTTTCGCTGTATCGCGGAGGAACGGCCGGAAAAAGCGCCACAAGGAACAGGAATATGGAACCCTTTGAAGCTTGATACGGCCGACGTAGAGACTTCGCGACACATCTTTAATTGCGACTGGAGAGACTGCAAAGGGAGCGAAGAGACTTCCGTAGAATTAAATTCGTCTTAAGTTGTGTGATTTTTTTTTTGCTTTCTTTTTTCTTTCATGTTAACCGGTTGCGGTTGGAGAGTGTTTTAGAATATGGACGATCGAAGATGGTTCGCTTGAAGGCTTCGTCGAAATTTGAAGCGATGATTCTCTGTGGCGTGTATAATAAAAAGTAAAACGTTCCGTGTAAATTTAACAGATCTTTGAAACTTTTGGGATAATCTAAAGTTCGTACAATTCTTAGGAAATTCCATTAGCCGATCCTAAAAATTTTGTAAACTTGGAACTTTTGCTATAAATTTTTCTAAAGATTACAGAAATTTTAGCATTTTCTAATTTTGCAACTTCGCAAAGATTTTTTCCAAATTCTTCAATCTTTTCCAAAATTCTAGTTTTTGTAATTTTTCAAAAATTCAGTTTTGTAATATTTCAAAAATTCAAAAAATTTCCTAACTTTCGATTTCTTCCACAAGAAGTACATAAATAACAACGAATATACAAAATATATATCAATATATATTCAATATATATTGAAAATACAATTAGTATATTTGAGGAAAAAGGAAAGAAGGAAGAAACATTCGTGTAGTGTTTACCGGCTAATCTGAAATCGAACATTGGCGTGTCAGTGGATAATTGCTTTGAAATTGTTTCGTTGGAGGTATCGTGAAAACCAATTTAAGGTTCACCCGTGGGTTAACTACTATTTTGTGTACGAATAATTGACCAAGACAAACGCAGAGGGATCGGAGAAGGAATGGATGGGTTTACAATGCGTAATTGCACGGATGTTTAATGGAAGATAGATTTATTGCGTTCGTATTGATTATGCCGCGTGGAATTCATCCGATTAGCAAGTTACGGCACAGAGTCACGAGCCACGCGTTAAATTATGCCCAGCTTGTGTTCCAACTTTGATGAGATCATGAAACGAGATTCCCTGAGAGTTACTTAATGTATTAGCCGATGTTTGAATAAATCTCGTTGCGTGTTATCCAACATGGTACGCCGGATCGGTGAAGATTCGAAGATTTATAAGCTCGGTTCTGAATTACCGCCGCTTGTACTGTACAATTCTTTGTATGTGCGTCAATTAAAATATTAAAACAGTGAAAATTCTCTGTATATTTATGTAAATTAAAGAACGAGAAAAGCAATCAGTCTGAAAGAAGAGAACAGGGATATGAATTTTACCAAACTAAAATATTTATAACAATTAAAGAATTTCAAAATCATTTAAATAGAATATATAGTAACTGTATGTTATACAAATTATTATTTCGAGCCATTTAACTTTTCATACATAAATATATTTGTGCACAATCCGTAGTCAAACCGGTCGTGAATTGCCCATGTCCAAGTTCTTTCTTTGTTACTGTTCTAGTCCTTTAAAAGATCTGAAAAAATGTTGAAATGGTTATGAATGCCTCCATTATGGTACAGAGCATCCGTTCAGTCGAATATCCGAAACTAAAATTACCATTTTCGATCGAATTGAACTGTAAGAAAATATAAAATTTCTAAATTTCGTCAAACATAAATCTTGCCGACCAATTATTTCATGTTATATCGAAGTAGTATCATATCGAGGTTTATACCTTATTTGTCCAAAAGTGTCGATTTATATTACTTTCCCCAGGTCATGTTGCTCCTCTGAAATAGTATCTCGCCTCGGACTATCATCGAGCGATTACTCGCGACCCAGCTTCGTAAATGCGTTACTGGGTTCGAGCCGAGAGCGGCAAGAAATTTAATAAAGTCGGTGAAAAATGAGCGGCTATTCGGGCCGGTTCATTTATCACCGCTATTTATCGGTCGGAGATACACTTCGATCAAGGAAACTTTCGAAATTGTGCCGTGAGGTTAACTCAGCTCGTGGGACAAGTTTCAACTGGTTACCAGAAACTCTGGAAACTTCCTTCGCGGACCAATAATCTCGAGGAAATGTACACGGACGCCAGTTGAACATGCAACTTCTCCTTTCCTTTCGATTCTAACCAACGAGTATCTTCGATCCATGAGCTCCAACTAGAATAGGATCATTTGAATTAAAAGGATGTTTGAACTAAGCGAGTTACCTTACAATTCGCCAAATTTGGTTATGAATAATTTTTAAGTAACTTAAAATGGAAAATGGATTGTGTAACTCGTTGTTACTGATCTCGTTAACATAACGAAATATTTGGATAAAATACATTGCATAGGATACGATATTTTCTCACCCTTTCGTTATTATCTTAAGGAGTAACGATATCACATAAGATACAACAACTTTGATTATTCTGTGCAAAGTTGAATTTGAAGATGTTGAAGCCGACTCTAATAAAGCAACCCTGCTATACTCTAATATCTAGAACCTGGAATCTAGAACTTAAACTTCCCAGATATTAGGATATAGAAACTGGAAGGAAACGGTAGAGATCGTTAAATGAAAGGCAATCTTATCTATCTGAGAAGGAGAGAAAAGCCGAAGGGCAAAAAGTGTGGAGCGATAATTCTATTTGGAAACGGGAGGGCATGCACTTTACAACCAACCAATGCAAACTGGCTTGGAGCCATGCCAGAAATGGTCGACCGGCGGAAACGTTATGTGACTGCCGCTCTAAAGGTGAAAGAAGAGCTATAAAAGAGAAAAGAGGCACGAAGGAGAACCCAGGAGTCCTTTCAAGATCGCACGATTGTCGCCCCATTTGCTTGGATATTAATCTCCAGCTTTTCTTTCTGGGTCAACTGAGCAAGGGGTACGCTCACCCACTGCGATATTTCTTCCAGGTTTCTAATTTGCAAGTATGAAAGTGGGGAATGACTAGGGGAACGTTCGTCTCTTGGAGTGTTCCGTTGCTTCCTTTCGCAGTAGTAGAATCTAGTAGAATAATACAGGATTATGCGGACGAAATTAAAAGAAATAGGGAAGTAGAAAAATATAAACAAAACCAGGAGTTTCTATTATACAGCGTTGTTAGTTGAATGAAGTTAAACTGAATTTTGCTAACGTTGGTTGTTTTGTTTGTGGGAGGATCAAGTAGAATGATACAGAATTATACGGACGAAAACAGTAGAAAGAGAGGAATATTAGAATATAAGCGTAGACAGGAACTTCTTTGATGGTAGTGCGAAACAGAACTTTGCTAATATTGGTTGTTTTATTTATGGTAGGACCAAGTAGAACGATGCCCAATTATACGGACGAAAGCGGTAGAAACAGAAAAATAAAGAAATATAAATGAAACCATTCTAATACCCTTAATCAACTGCTGAAGAAAACGTTGCTCGATGTTTAAGCTTTTATTACCTATTTTATTTTCTTTTATTAGAAATCTCTTATTCCATAAAAAGGAACTAGACTTTGCGAAAACACCTGTTGCGTTTCGATAAAATAACTGTATTTGGTACAAACTGAATGCGTTCTGTTGCTTTTATTTTCTTCACATTAGAAATCTGTTACTTCACACGTATCCCATAATACTAAAATACCAAGAAAACTACAACAGAAAAATTTATTACAATTTTCCAACAAATGCGTAGGTATCTTAATACTTATAGCCACCAACTTACGTCATGAATCTAAAATATAGCTATACCATAGTAACTCGATCACCTCACCTCCAACTTAAACCCAGCTGAACCAAAGAAAAACTACACACCTGTGCCTGCTGTTTAACATGAATCTAACCCATAAAGCCATCGAATATACACTTGCAGGCAACGATAACGCAGTTCACGTTTCACCCCTGTCACTAGCTGGCCGTTTATCACTGCTAAAAGCCTATACCTTATCGAAGCCAACCGATAAGGGGATCACGCCTATGTTGCTCCCCACGAAGGTCAGTCATGCTCCTATTGCAACGCAAAACCCAACACACAGGTGAATAAGGAGGCACTTAACGTGAAACCTTCGCCCTGTGTTCCCACGTCTTCTGCGCGACCTCTGATACTGATACTCGATAGTCGAACCTTGCCCTTTGTTTAACCTCTTTGGAAGATTTTATGCTACAGGAACAGTGTGCTAAGTGTATTTTCGTGATTCTATGTTTCAGCATCACATAAAATTGAGGCACGAAAGACATCGTCGTCAACATGGAGAAAGCTATTTGCCTAGTAGCTTCGTGTTGGATACGGATGAACCTGAACAAGGAACGTGGGGACCATGGTCCACGCCTAGCTCGTGTTCCAGATCCTGTGGTGGTGGTGTCGCGCATCAGACTAGACAGTGTCTTGATATAGAGTAAGTGATTCGACTTATTCCTTTTGGGGAAGATTTGATAAGTTTGATTGATGACTTTGTGATAAATTGACAAATATTTACAACTCTACGGTTTTATGTAAAACCGTACTTTGTATTATAGAATTCATTTATAGAACTTCACTCGCTTTAACAGAAAATTTGTTATTAAAATAACTATTATAAGAGAATTTATTATCACTGGTAATTTATAAAATCTTGTTAATATTGCTCTATTATATTTTTTTTACTGTAATTGTTATTACATTAGTTGCTAATAATGTTAATTTTACGAGAACATTCAGCATTCTAATGACCACGTTTACCATAGAAACTCTTCCAATTATATATACTTTACATTAATTACACGTATATATACAGTTTAATGTGACGAAGAGAACGTTCTAATTAAGTCACTATTACATATCCAAACAGGAAGCACCTGAAGACTTTCACGACAATTCTCAGATACGGTTTTCGTTCTTATAAATATTCACGAGATGTTTTTCCTACGTTTAGAATTTCTTATACCGCGTTAATATTTCATTACAAGACATAACTGCAGGCAAACGTTAACGAAACTGAGCTTGAAATTCCAACGACCCGCGAAATGTCCCCAGTCGGACTCGGTAATGGAAAATTAATTTTTTATCTCGTCTTTTCGCAAAAGATGGGTTTATTCAAATTCAATTCGGTCTCGTCGCCGTTTCCACGCTTCGAAGACTTTTCTGGTGAGAGTTTTTGACGGGTCAACTTCTTGCGGAGAATCACGGTAAATCCTTCTTATCTGAAGGGGGATGCACGGCTAAGATTAATCGCGACTACCAGCGCGCGCTTCCGGTGTCCTTCTGAAGCTTCGTCTCAAACGATCTCACAATTTTTTTCGTACAAAATTTGTTTCTACATCGTAAGATTTTATGTTGTGCTTTATATGAATTATGAAGCACTTTCTTATAATACATATTTTTAGATCATATATAAAAGTTTTAAAAGGGGTAAAATTTTCTAGCTATAACTTTCATCATGCAGGTTTTAATATTATGAATTTTGATCAATACTTGTTTTTATATTATCTGCGTGGTAGCCAAAGAAAAGATCACGAAACATTAAAGAAATATTTCAACGTAATGTCGTCTCAAAACTTCGTTTCCAAGAATTTCGCAATTTTCGTATAGAAAACCATATTTCTTATATTATATTATATTATATTATATTATATTATATTATATTATATTATATTATATTATATTATATTATATTATATTATATTATATTATATTATATTATATTATATTATATTATATTATATTATATTATATTATATTATATTATATTATATTATATTATATTATATTATATTATATTATATTATATTATATTATATTATATTATATTATATTATATTATATTATATTATATTATATTATATTATATTATATTATATTATATTATATTATATTATATTATATTATATTATATTATATTATATTATATTATATTATATTATATTATATTATATTATATTATATTATATTATATTATATTATATTATATTATATTATATTATATTATATTATATTATATTATATTATATTATATTATATTATATTATATTATATTATATATAATATATATTATATATTATATTATATATTATATATATTATATTATAATTTATGTTAATTATTAAGAAATTTGTTTTATTTAAAATATATCTAAAGTCTGTCTAATAATAATAAATAACAAATTATTAATAATAATAATATATTTAATAATAAAGAAATAAGACTAATCGTGACCACTAATGCATTCTTCTGATATCGTTCCAATCGTTTCAAAGAATTTCGCACTGAAAGGAAGGTAGCGGAAACCGTAAGTTCGTTACGTAAATGAAACGAGGAAAAGAGGAAAATCGAATGAGAGAACGATGGGTATCGGTCGAAGAAATCGAGAGCCAATCGCTAATAACACGTTCGATGAAACGAGAAAGCGGGCTAATCGTATCTTGTGAAAGCATTCGGCTTGTAGAATGATCTCATGGATGGATCATGTCGTAGGTCAATCTTAATCGCGTTGCTTTGCAGTTCTTTTCAATTTACGAACTTCGTTTCACGACTTCCGCGACTAGAATTTCAAACATTCTGCGTCTAGCGTATATAATTTCAAAGAACCCGATGCTAGATTAATTTCATGTTACGATTATATTGCATCGTAATATCGTGATCCGAAATTGCTGAAGAAAGTGTTCACGATGTGAAATAGAAACTTTCTAGGTGCTATTTTTAATTGTTTCCGATAGAAGTTAATTTTAACATTTTGATTGGCTTATAATCACTGGTTTAATACGATGTTGGAATTAATAAAATATTTCGATTAAACCTTTCAAGATAGGTATTTTAAATTTAATTAGTGGATGTAATAAAATAATTGTACGAACCATAATACACTCAAATTTGAAAAACATAGAAAAACAAGCGTAATTTTCCAAACAAAACACCTATCTAATAATATACTACTCAAAACAAGTAGGGAATTACTACTATCTGTTGCACTTCACCCATCTATTTGTTCAGACGAACAAAGGTAAACAGATATAGGCTCAATATAAATTGACATTTCATTTGTACTATAAAGATTTGCTTTATGATCTAAAAGTAAAAAGTAGTCAGGAATAAGTATCTGAAACAAACTTCAAAACTTCGTACTAAGTATATATTTACTTAAAAAATTCTAGCGAGTAGTTCAACTAATCCAGGGCGGTAATTCAGCACCGCTTTACAAGTGCATTAAACTCATACGTTAGATTCCTTCCGCCTGATTTCCGCATGAAAATTTCATTCGAATGGAAGCCGTGTAAGGCGAGGGAGAGCAATTTCCCCGAAAGGATTGCGCGCGAATTATTTAGAAACCAAGCCAGCGAATCGCATTTTTTTCCCGGCGTGTCGAGGTGGAGAACGTTGGCGGTTTACGGTGCGAAAAAAATTCGTCGCTCCACTTTTCCTTCGAGTTTCCTCGAAAGAAGCTCATTAACGAGGAGGTACGACCGACGCAAGATTTAACGGACTGTGAATTTCCGATTAGAGATACGAGCCGCCATTTTTTCGGGATCGTTGGATCTACGCTTTGGAATCGAACGGATCAGTGTAACACGCTACAAATATTCGCCTGTTTGTGTTATTTATTAAATTTTGGTACGAGCAGAATTGATCATAAAATTATCGAATTATGGAATTAATCATGCTTTGTGGATGAAATTGTAATTTTGTGAAATCGCGAATTTTTTAAAATTTAATTTGGTCACAATAAATTTGTGATAACTATGAGATTAATTGTGATTTTGGATTTTTTTAAATTTTCTTTTGCGTCTTGTTAAGAACAATAAATGTGGAATCATTTTAAAGTTAAATCTAAGATAAATATCGGGAGTATCAATCTTATTGATTATTTGATCCTATATTCTGTTGTGAAAAGGCTTATTGAACGCTATAAAGATGTCTTATCGTTGCAGTGACAATGGCTACAACAGGTGCAGTGGTGCGTCGAGGCGATTTTTCTCTTGCAATATCCAGGTGAGTGTGATCTATAAAACGCGATGTTATTACATTTATTCTACTCAAAATATCGATATGTAAAATATCAATAAAGTTTTAGCACAATAATATAATAAAAAATCCAAATATAGTTGCGTAAATCAAATCAATTTTTTAAGTATTTCAAGTATTATTTGGTAATCATTTAGCAATCATTTAATAATAAACATTATTCGATAACATCCACGTTAATTTGATTGGAACAATTTTCTCTTTATTTTTATATCAGACATAAAGAATAGCATAAGATAAACAAATCAAACCCGTAGTTATACATCATTAATAGTCATGTAGTTAGAGAAAATCTATGTGATCTATTATTGTAATAGGTCAGTTCTCTGGACAATCTATCAAACAGTAACGAGGCCGCGACGCGTGTCACATGCTTCAATTACTTGCATCTGCATGACCAATGAGTATCGTTCTCCATTATCTAGAATTGCCCGATATTTTCACTTTGGCTAAACAGTTTCTTAATACATTCTACTCTGTTATTATTGAATCTCTACCGGCACGTAAGAAATTATGCTTCTCCTACACATGAGTTTAACAAGAAGATTATATAATGATAGTTCTATAGTAATGATGATAATAACAAGTTTTTTATGCAACTATACATAGATATATGATTTAACATATCCACAACTGATTGCATTTTCATTATGCATGCTATGTGGAATAAAACTAATAAACAATTTTCATGCGAAGTCGACTTCAGTATTATATAAATTTACATTAATAATTTGTTTACATAATTGACAATTATGAACCAGAAAACTAATTCGTGTAAAATACAGCACAGTTCATATTCGATATGTGTGCATATAAATCTGTGTGCATATTATATCGTACAAATATTACAAAAATAAATTTGCATAATAAACTTGCTATAGTGAAAGATTTTCTAAATAATATAAGAAATAATATAAAAATTGATCACACAATAATATTTTATCTCATTCACCTTACATCATTTTATTAAAGAAGAACTTTTCAATTCAAACAAATCATTTTTCACCCTTACTCTTCTCTCCTAAAATTTCGTAATGTATGGTGTAGTAGAAATTCGTCAGCTAAATTTCTCTCAGCTATTCGCGTTTAAAGCAGATCTCTCATCAAACGAACGGCTTTGCTATGAGTAAATATACGTTGCCTGGTGCATGTCCCTAACCTTTAGATATGTCGGTCAATTTCTCGCGGATCGGTTCGACGGTCTTTAATAAAATGATTTATACCATTATTTAATTCAGTTCGTTAAATGTCAGCCGCAGACTGGCTGAACTTTGAACCCGACGACAGATCTCCCATCGACGATCGACGTTTCACGTGTGGCTTGTTCGAAAGAACTTTTGTCCCTTTATCACGCGTCTCGTTCCACCGTTTAACCTGGATCGATCCGGCTATCATTCTCGTCGCTTTGACTCTCCGTACACGTGGCATTGCCCGTTCAACTTTCATTTAAAACCACTTAATCAAAGCGATACTGTTAATCACCATTTCTTTCTGTCCGATTCGCCCCATTTTGACAAATTGGTCTGGCGATCCATTAATCCGCACCAACAGTCGCGATTCGAGGGATGGAGCCGCGGGTTCTGCTTGAAAATCTATCTATGAATGCTATTTTTCAAAGAAGAGAAACGTTGTTTTCGTTTACTAAGCGTAATTTTAACTTGTTTGACTTTATAAATTTAGATGTGTCCTTATTGTACAAACATATTTATGGGTCAAGAAAAATTGTATTATTGCGATCTATGAATATGTATTTGGAGGTGAAAAGTGATAGAAATGATCAAATAAATCCGAAGCTTTCTTTTCGAAAATAATCTCTGTATTATTTGTTCAGAATTTTTGCAAAGAGTGCAAATATGTATTCAGGTCACGAACGCGCTTTACGACTTTAATCCTGGAGTATTACAATGGGATATTGCATTCTCCACTCGTATGTTTTAGCTACTTCTAAGAGATAGCTCTTTGGTATTTATTCTTCTTACTAACTTCTTGACATGGAAAAACGAACAGTTTGAACCACTAACATGAGAAAACTTGTTTGGAGTGGTACGTAAAATTATGTTGTTTAATTATCCAAATTCTACTTTTTACTCAGTTTTATAAGCAGAATATTCACTATTTTATAGTGTGATATTACAAAATTGAGAACTTCGTCAGTTTGAAAAACAATTGGTACTGAAAGGGTTAAAACAATTACTTTCTCAATCCTCGCTCAGCAGGACCCGAATTTCAATTTGATTTGATATTTGATTTTATATTGATAAAGCAAAGAGTCGGTTGAAAAACTTTTTACCTCTATCTGGTAACTAAATTTACTTGAAAAATAAAATTCGTTGGTTTAGTTTGACAATTTTCGTCCGGCGATTGAAACTACCCTCTACTTTTCTATCACTCAATTACGTCAGAAACTATATCCCAAAATTTAAAAGCACAGTCATTCGTTGCGAAATAAATACTTCAAACGATATAAAATAACGCACGATTCTAAACACTTAAACAATCACGTTCTGCCAAAGACACGGTCGATTCCAATCAACCCACGACGAAAATGAACGAGAGAGAATTATCGATCAATAACTAGGCGAAACGAAGGGTTAATAATCGGCGACAAGCAGAGCCGGTCCCTGAAACGTTGCATGCCGCTGTATTCCAGCCGATGATTGTAAGCTCACGAGGTCACCGGGACGCCGTAAAATCTCTGGCCCAGGTAGCGTTTGCAGCAGCCACGACGATCGTTTCGCAGTACATCCGTTGGTTGATGGACGCGTTGACCCGTTTCGAAGCCGCGAGCAGGGATTAAAAGTTTATAGCCACGGTTAAGATCGCCCTCCCACGAGCCAACACTAAATCTTGAGTCGAGGGCACTCGGGGGTGTATTCAGGAAGGTTGGCCAGGTTAAAACCGTACGATCTCGCTCGTGGCAATCGTAAACACACATGGAGACCGTACATAGTCGTCTTCGAGGAAAACGGAGTGGTAGAGAGGCTCGGAGTTTGGTAAACTTCTTTTGGAGTTCTCCTTTTTCTTTAAAAGGGATTTGTTGGGGAGGTAGAATGTTAAAGGTGAATTTTTAGTAATTCAGCGGGCAGAATACTTTTCTGTTCAGAGATAGTATTTTTGGGGAGGAAGAATTTGAGAGGTAGATTTTTAATAATTTTATTGATTTCTCCTTTGAAAAGAGCAGATTTATTCAGGAGAAGTAATTCTAAAAGTGGATTTTTTAGTAATTGTTTATTTATTAGAGTTCCATTTCTTTAGAGAAATAGCAAGATTTGCCAAGGAGGAGAAAATGTTAAAATGGATTTTTATTTAATTCCTTGAGGCCACATACCAGTAGGTTTGAAAACCTTTTCAATTACTGAATGAATTCATTCATTCGATTAAAATTGGGTTGAAGTACAAGCAAACTTTTTCTTAGACTTGTGTGTTATTTAATTTTTTATTCGATTCCGTAGCGAACACTACCTACTTCTTACTCAAACCATGAAACAGAAACAACAAAAACTTTTAAGTGTCGAAACGTATTGTTAATACTTCAAGTGGCCGTACGATAGAAGCAACGAAGCCAATTTTTGTTCGTATCGAATCGAGTTGAAACAAACTTTTGAGAAATTGTACGAGAGTTCTCGTACGAGGTTTCCCTTTCGTGTTAAAAATTAATTTCCCCGTCACACACGGTCCACGGGATTTTCCCTCGCTGTTCCTGCCGGTAATTGAATCTACGTCGTCGCATCAATTTTCACGAGCGCCCGCCACGCCAATCGAGCCACCGATCCCACAGCTTTAATTTCATTTTCCCGAATCACGAACCCTCGATCACGGCCTACCAAGACACAAGAAACTACTTCGGAAACAGAACCACTTGCTCCAACCCTCGACCGTTTCTTTCTAGATGGAGAAGATCACTAGTGAAAATGTATTTCTGAAAGTCACGTACCCGCTATAAAAATTATTTCCACCACATCGCCAAACTTATGATGCTTCGAATTACTTTTCTGCTAGATGGATTTAACTCGAACTTCTATGCAGCATTAAGCACGTCCTCATAATCGCGCTTCTTCCGGGAATATAATGGTCTCCGTAGAAGTACAGAGAATTTCTTTAAAATCTTAAAAATTCAAAGATTCATAAATTTCTTTTTTTCAATGGAGTAGTTTCTGGGATATCTTTTTGATGTTTCCGCAATTAAAATATTATACGTAGATATGTTTCAATAGATGTTACATATATGATATTATATATCATACATGCATATCATAATACATATCTATAACATATTTCTGTATTTTATAATACAACAGCATATGGAAATGAATATTTTATAGCAAGATGTGTTATTTCACAAAGATATTTAAGCAGAAACAAAAAGGGAAACTCTTTTTTTTGTATTTGTTTATCCTTATTATTTTGAACTAATGCTTTTTGCATAATATTTTGTATTTAAAATAGCTTTTAATTTGTCTCCTTCATATAGAACGTACTAACTTCACGGTGAAATTTTCTAGAAGACTTTCGCGATTGATTGAATACAAATCAAGTTTGAAGATTAACTTTTGAACTATTTAGATAATAGATGCAGAAAATAAAACATTGCAAGAATGAGAACAAGAAGATATAATATAAAAGTATTTGTTTAATTAGGATATGAGTTCCAAAACATGATAATTCAACAATATGAAAGGATACATATTATAATACGATAGATCAAACTGTGGACGTAAAATCACATTAGTTGATAGAAGGAGGATCGTCGAAAATCTTGCGTGGCTTAAAGGCTCTTTAATGATCCTCGAGAGCAACAATATGACCCAACCACCCGATAACGCAGCAGTGCGCTGTCGGAGATGCTAAAATTTATGAACGGCTGGGCATTATACAGCATGGACTCGCGAAGTATTAACTTCGTTAAAGTGACGTGCTAAATGAAACGAGCCGCAAGCTGCGTCGCTGTTATGCGTCCTCGGCCTATGGATATTGATCGCTGATTCAGCTTGCCCCATGATAATCAACTTCAAATCTTTATAAATGTTCATCCGCATTAAATATGATTATACATTTTTTTAATGATATTCTATGACAAATATCGTTTTACTTTTTCTATTGTCGTCACATTTTAGATATAACATAACAATAAGTGAATTAATGATAATTAACATTCAAGCATCATTTAATTACGTTTATTCCGTGCTTGGAGAAAGCTGTTGAAAATTGACGCGAGAAGTGTCGCTTTTATCTTTATCTCTTATCTTTGGTGTGTTACAAGAATTTTTTTCGAGACTAATTTTCATAAGTAAATTATAAATTAAATTTCATTATAAAGATTTGAAATTTTGCATTCTTCAATTGTGTTCTCACTGCAAAAGATTTTCTAATTTTTGAAAAAGTATATAAAAGTCCCTTGATTCATCGTATTTCGCTCTATTCTTTCAAAATTATTATCTTTTTCAGAAAAGACAAGAAAGTTGAATCGAACAGTTAAAAGATAGTAACGGAATGAAAAATTTTCTATTTTTGCCTTCGATTCTATTTCAATTTTACTTTATTTTCCTCACATTCAGAACAAGAAAAAATCCCCTGAACACTAATTAATCTCGTTAAATTTTAATACTTACCTAACGTCCCATTGTGCATTCTGCTAAAATCATTCGGCGGGTAATCTAGTTCCCCGGCAAAGAGACGTCCCACGGCTGCGATACATTCCAAGGGAATTGAACGAACGCCAGGCCACTTACGATATCAGGGGCAATCCATTTCTCGCCGCGAATTGCTCGCCGTTGCAAAAATTCCCTCCCAGAACACCGCTCATTGTTCTCGCCCCTTTGTCCCAGCACCGCGAAACATTTCGTAATTAGTAACAATGCCTGCCGGCTAAACAGAGATTATTGAACGGCGGAAACTCCCGGGAGACTTCGGTGGATGAAAGCCAGACCAGAACGAGAAATAAACGAAGGAACGGAAAAGAGGCTGAAGAAGATGGATTCCTTTAACGAGGCAAACCTTTAATTGCGAGTCCTCGTAATTTCGGGAATATTCGATCCTGTATTTATGAAACTGTTTCCACTGAATTCTCGCCAACTTCTCTAGTTTACTGCTGGAATTAGATAGGAGAATAATTGTAGGGTAAGATATAAAATTATTAAGATTAATACAGCAATGGAAATTACTAGTTTCTTCCTCCATTTTTTAAAAGATTTAGGACTTAGGTAGGACTTTTTACATGTAATAATTATTTTTTGAGTTTGTAGATTGTGAATCGTAGAAAGGTGATAGTTTGGTAATTTTATGGGAGATATTACTATTATCAATTAAATGACTTAAAGAAAATAACGGAACTTCCTACGATACCTAATATTTTATTTGATTTAAAAATTTTCAAGAGACGTGTGAAAGTAGATAAAGTATGTATAAAAGTCGATGAATCGAACTACACTTGGATTTTGATGGAGGTCTCCCACTCGTCAGTCGATTGCTTCGCCACTTGAGCTATTTGAACATGAGATCGAATAAATTCCTCTTCTTTACGTCTGACACTTCGAAATGACGACATGGAAAATGTAACAGATCTTTCTTTAGAACTATATATTTCTTGTCTGGCAACTCTAGATCTAATTATACATTCGTGAGTATAGTCGATTTATAAGCATTCTACATTAATATTGGATGTTTATTCTATATTCTTTGAGGAAAACATTCTTTGAAACTAAGTAAACATGCATTGCATATTTTTCCTCTTTCTTTTATGCTGAAGCATGTTTGACGTTTGACGGGATGGACGACACCTGCTAAAGACAAGTGGCATATAAAAGATCGAAACAAACAGACGTTCCGCATACTCGTATCCCAAACGTGAGATATTGCGATTCTTTTGAGAATTACGACCACGGTGCTGGCAAAATGATAGAGCAATCGTATGCTTTAATACCCCTATGTCCATAAATCACACGGAAAAGAGAACATAAAATTGAATCATTCAGTAGTAGGACTGTACCAAAGACGTACTTCTAAATTCTCTTTCACGGCCTTTATTGCTAATTCATTACGTTTCGTTACATTATGTTCATTGTTCATATTTTATCTCTCATATCATTATTCATTAATAATTTCATTGGTTTCACAACTGAAGAATTTTATTCCATTTCTGTCCATTCTAATAATACCTACAGAGCATCCCATTTATTTAAAAAACTACTCCATTAGTACTACCTCAGCAATTGGAATAACTTCGTTTCATTTTACTATAAAATTATTGTTTCATTTCCATAATCATGAAACTTGGGTGATGAATTCTTTTTCTGTATGAAGAATGTACATATGCTTATTTTTAAATAAGATCAAATCAAACTTAACTCGTAGCTTTCAAACCCAATAATAAATAAACCAACATCTGCGATCAGTTCTTTTTGATACCACACTACAGAAGTTAACCACAATTTTGAAACAATAATTGCAATCCTGAAAAGAGGCGAAGTCTCTGATCACGAGTCATGCATCTTGCAGACTTTCCACGAGATTCGTGCAGGTTCCTCCGACTCTTAAACGGTGCCCCGTGAATCGATTCCCTACCAAGCGTTCAAGGTCAATCGCAGGACCGCCACGGCAAAGCGGTTCGCCATAAATCACCAGGGTCACAGAACCTTTGACATCGTTTCGGGATCGCGGGTTTCGCGATCAGGATCCTTTTTCTTTTGCGGTCACCAAGAGGCCCGATTTCACCCAATGGCCCCACCCCTTTCCACGGGGTCCCGTGTCTCCGCAAGAAATCTCCCGTCATAAATCCTAGCCGACGTATCCTCGTGCGTGCTGTACCAGTCCCTCCGGGATATCTTTTTGCCCGTTTCACCTCGCTCGATTTATCGACATTACCTGAACAGGCCAACTTTTCTGTAGCTCTTCTGTTGACTCACAATGTTTCCCCATGTATGATTGGGACCATCTAATTTTTGTGACCAGTTGTTGGTGGAAAATAATGTAGCGGAATATCATGGTTGGATCGTTCTAAGGGGAATTTTGGGGTGTGCGATATTATTGATTTGGTGGTTGCATTTGATTGATACGGGAGATTCTATAGGGGACACGTGTGGATGTTTTGCAGGTTGATTTGAGATTTGTTTGAGATTGGATTTTGCGCAGTTTGAAGACCAGAAATAGAGGTTTTTCAAGGATTTTTTGTGGTTTTATAAGGGTTCTTTGTTGAACTTGTTAAATGGATAGATGAAATGATATTTATTTATTAGATATGAAAACTCAATGTGGATATTTACTAACTTAATGTGTTTTACTCTGTATGCGATATTAATGGTAGAAACGTGACTAAATTAAGAAAGTTGCAATGTTAGATTATACAGGGTGGTTGGTAACTGGTGGTACAAGCGGAAAGGGGATGATTCTACGCGAAAAAAGAAGTCGAAAATATGGAATAAAAATTTTTCGTTTGAGGCTTTGTTTTCGAGAAAATCGACTTTGAATTTTCGCTCGGTACGCGCGCGGTACGTTATAACGGATCTCACTGTAGATCGTTGTCTCGATGGAAAAATTAAAAAAAAAATTAAAAAAAGAATTTTTATTCTATGTTTTCGACTTCTTTTTTCGCGTAGAATCACCCACTTTCCGCTTGTACCACCAGTTACCAACCACCCTGTATATGTACCTCTTGCTTTGAAATACATATACATCATTCCAAAACTTATTAGCCTTGATATTTATCATTAACAGGTTATTATTTACTTCTTGTTGTTGCTTCTTTCGCACGAAATAACGACGTCTGTGAGAAACATAAATCCGAACTTAAAACTGGAACATGGAAATTGACGATAAATTATTGGATCGCGAGAGAATCTGAGGCGAATAGGAAAAAATCTTGATGTGGAAACACACGAAAAGCTCACAGTTACGATTACGAGTAACGTGCGTTCATGTGCTTTTCTTTTTCTGCTTTGTTGCCTACGAAATAATAAAATTGCAGCTTGCCCCACACGATCTTGCGAAACATGGAAATAAATATTGTAACCCAACGGGGGCGGACCCTTCGCGAAGAAATGTGCGTGTGCGTATAGCAACGACGAAGATTAGAAAACGTGCCTGGTCACGGTATATGACGAAAACAAGAGGGTGACTAAATCTAGAGTACAGGTTTCAGATGTGGGGATTTAGCAAATTATATTTGTGAATGATGCAGCAATGAATGGCCATTCGATGAATCATTTTTGGCACGGGTTTTTTTTCATCTTTCTTTTTAATAAATGCAATTGAAGAGCGTAAAATGTCGTTTTTCATATGAGAGCAATTTTAGAATCCATTACCTTGTTAACCATTCACATATTACCAAAACTTTTTTATTTAATTTGAATGTGCAGTTCTCTCGAAAAATGTTTACATCAAAAATATTGATTATTCCACTTCGTATACGAAAAAGGTTTTTGATTAATCTTTTCACAAAACTTCATGGATCTGTCATCTATTGCTGAAATGCTTATATTTCTAGATCGAATGCATTTTTTTTTTCAACTATGTCATACTTAAATACACCTAAGTTTTCTAATCACTAAATGACATTAAAGTCATAAGACCAACAAAATTATATACTAGTATATCTTTCCTCCATTCTCAACAATAATAATACGAATGTGCATTTAATTCCTTGTTTACTTATAAATTATTCGTTTAAAGTTTCTGAGTAAATCAAAATAATTCGCACGTTTAGGAAGGAATTTCGCGCAACTTATTAATGCAGTGTTCTTTGTTTCTTTATTCAGGAATGTCCCGGTGAACCGAAGGACTTCCGAGCAGAGCAGTGCGCCGAATTCAACAACGTTCCGTTCGAAGGAATTCACTATGAGTGAGTATCGCAAACCGCGAGTTGCCTGTGATCCATTTTGTCAGTGCATTCGCTCAAAATAGTCGTGGAATCCCGATGAAGTTTCTGGATACACGGCGAAAGTGATTTATTGTCGACGTCATTTTCGGCAAGAAAAGGTCGCGGACTTTTTGCGAATCTCCGACAAAATCTAATGGTCGTCCGAAGTTGAAATCCATGCTCGTTTAAATTCGTGTTCAATGCGAGGTTTCACGCTCGAATTTCACGTCACGCTACATACATGCTGAAACCCCGAACTGTTTGTAAAAAAGCACTTTTTCTTGATAGAGAAATATTTTGACAGTATCTATTGAAATGTTTTTATTGTAACATGTTTTCATTTTTTTCTGTTTTTTGTGGGTTTCAATTTTTGGTTTCTACAATCCATAATCCTATTATATTTCAAGGCTATGGGGAAAGAGAACACGATAAATCAATTTTCTATCTTACACAAGGAAGTACTTTTAAAATTCAATACTTTACTAGTGAATTCTATGTTCTTAAAATTGTTCTTTTATTTAGTTTTGAAGCTAAATGTCGTTATAATATTGGAATATTGCCTATCTTAATAACAAGTTTAGTTATAAAGAAGTCTTAAAATTCGAAACTCAACGAAAATATACTTATCATGTTCTTCTCCTGTGAAATCTTCATTTATTTTATCAAAAGTTTCAGATCTCTCATCGAGTACGAAAATAGTAATAAATTCGAACCTCCATTATAGTGCTCAATTTAGAATACGAATTTAGAATTGACCTAGTAGAACTATATAGCCTTGTTTTGCACTTAACGTCAGTATTCATTACAGAGCCGCTGCACGTTTTTTGTTACGAGTTATACGACTCATATTAATTTTACAGCGGCCAAGAAAGCAGACGCAATAAATATGTATATAGATCCATTTAAACAGTTGAAGGTGACCGATCTTCTTAAACAATAATACTTTGAAACGAGATTGATCGCTGATGTCATGTGTTTATATTTATTCCAAACACGATAAAAAGTGATCGAGAAAGAGAATCATGACTTAAAATTGATTCTCTATTATCTTTTAATTTTAAGATTCTACACACACATTTTTGGTCGATAGACGAAGATCTTTAAAAAATGAAATAAAATAAAAATAAAACAAAAGAAGTAAAAACTCAGCCTACCTAATCGTGACTCAAAAAACTGCTAGCACCTTCAGAAAGGAGAACAGCTAGTTATCGAGAAGATCGATGACGATCGCCAGATTTCCGCGCCATAAAACGGCCCACGGCGAGACTAATCGCGCAAAATCGTTCGCAGTTGGATTCCGTACACCGGCGGGCCGAACAAGTGCGAATTGAATTGCATGCCGCGCGGCGAGCGTTTCTTCTACAGGCACAAACAGATGGTGATCGACGGGACGCCATGCGAGATCGAGAAGAACGACGTCTGTGTCGGAGGCAAATGCATGGTGAGTTAACGATCCTCGATTCACTGCAGCGGGACCAACGCGAATTCGTTTCCGTTCGTGCACGTCGAGTTGTTTTGTCTGTGGGAGACAATCGAATGAACGACGAAAGCTCATAAAAAAGAGTAGATTTAGCGAGAACAAGAAAGAGAAATAATATTTCTCGTTTACTCTCGCTGTATCTATTTAAGTACTATTTCTGTCAGGTTCAGGTTACGCTGAGTTCTAAATACTGAATGTTGTAGAATGGGTTTGTTGTTGGGGAGCATTTGAATTTAGGCAAAACAACTCCATTGGAATTTTAGCGAGGAACATTACTGTACCGGCACGTAATTTCTGTTTGATTGTCAGCACGTCGGATGTGACATGATGCTTGGAAGCGACGTGAAGGAGGATGCATGCAGGGAATGCGGTGGTGATGGGTCCAACTGTAACACCGTTTCCGGTTTATTCGATACCGACGATCTTCAAGTGGGTAAGCTGAGAAATTTTATATTTTTAATATTGTTGTACGATACGATTGGTAAATGAAACACGATTCAACATACTGAAACAAACTTTATCGTAAGATTACCAGTTTTATTAAATTTTCTTTAGGATACATCGATATTATACTAATCCCGCAGGCTGCAACAAACGTGATAATAAAAGAAATCAAACCGTCGAACAATTATCTAGGTAAGTGAAATATCTTAATTATAAGTGATTACCATTTATGATTATCCAATAAGGCGTTGATGAAACTCCTGTCGTTGTTGATGTTTTAATACATTTTATACCGGCAGCTATTAGAAACACTTCAGGCAATTATTATCTAAATGGAAACTGGAGGATAGATTTTCCACGAAGCTTAAAATTTGCCGGGACCATATTCCATTATTCGAGAGATCCGCAAGGTTTCTCGGCACCCGATACCATTACCGCCTTAGGGCCGACGAGTGAACCAATTTACGTGGTGGTGAGTGGCTGCATCGCTCTTAAATAGCAAATTACAACGTCATCCAGTTAAAAAGAAAGTGCAAATTCTTCCCAATAAAATAAGTGAAATCGCTAAATAGTGAAATGGAGCCTTGTCCATAATTTTTTTTATTTCTCTTTCCACTTTTGGTTTATGAAGCTAATTTGATGAAATACGACTACAATGTTTCATCGAGCATAATTTCTTTTGTACTAAAAATAATCGATGCAATATAATAATAGTAGATGTAATATAATAATATAATAATCGATGTAAAATACTGTTAAGAAATGATCAATCGAATAAGTAGATGGGTATACTACATTATATCGGATAAGAGAAAGAATAATTTGCCGAATTGATTTCGACAGCTTTTGTATCAAGACCACAATGTCGGCGTGCATTACGAGTATAGCGTACCGAAGAGAATCTCGCAGCAAAATGATGCGGATAGCTACACATGGATAACCGATGAATTTTCCAGCTGCAGTGCGACTTGTGGCGGAGGTAATATTTCCAAAATTAATACCGTTACCTAAATACACGGTGAATGTAATCAATAACCGGATAGCCCGTCCGGCTAGCGTACCGAACGCGTTTCCATCGGTTCTAAATTTGATAGAGTAATTTACGAACGGACGGATACTCAGCGTTTGATGAACGTTTATTAATTAATATGCTTTTCATTTAACCTACCTGAAACAGATCATTCTGTGTTCATCGCATATTGAATTATCGAATCAGTAGATCGCCAAAGGTGAAAGTTGTTGTATTTTCGCTAACTATAAAAGCAGTTCTTGCTTTCTAGTTTCGAAGTATCATTTATCGTAATTTATTTACTTAGAAGGCAAATTATGAATTACAGATACATTATTTTCTTAAATTGTTAGATTACTTTTATATTGTATCGTCTCACTTATTATACGCATATTGACAACGTTAATACCTTCATATTTTATTCATAAAATCAACAATACGATAATTATTAGGTTTCAGTTATTGAAAAATCAATATTCATTAAAAGAATACAGCGTACAATTGCAATAAGGAACATAGTATTAATAAAATAATTTCCCAAATAATAACATATTTTAAAAATTTAGTAAAAAATGTTTACAAATCTCTATAGGTCAATGGCTTTGCTTTATAAATATTCATGTTGAATAATTCTCTTTCGAAGGTTATCAATCGAGACGAGTGGCCTGCGTACGAAGAAGGGACAGGCAACCGGTGGATGAGAGCCTTTGCGATCCACAGATGGAACCAGATACAACCGACGCCTGTAACGTGGATCCATGTCCACCTGTGTGGGTGGAGGGCGAGTGGGGTCCTTGTAGCAAGCATTGCGGCGAAGGAGGTGAGCAGAGCAGAGGGATCAAATGCGAACAGGTCATCTCTGGTGGAATCCCTACGGTGGTGGACGATAGTCAGTGTCTGGAGAAGGTGGGACCAAAAGGACCGACCAAACAGGAGTGTAACAAGAACGTGACGTGCCCACAATTTCACGTTGGACCCTGGAAACCGGTACGAATAACTTACGTCTTATTTTTCCAACTTGATCTTTTCAATGTTCACTAAATGGCGAAATTGAAAGAAAGTCGTGTTTTTATGAATGCAATGAAAAGAATGGAGCCTAATCAGAGATTTGTTTCACCTAGTTAACTTCATAGCGTTTTTATAATGTTATTTCGTATATCTTTATATATCATGCCTGCTTTTCTACTTTTATATTTTTAATTCAAAGATTGTAAATTTTGCGACATTGTTATAATACTTCTTCAAAATTCTTCAAAAGACAAACAAATATATGAAATTAAAGAAGAAATTATTTAAATCCAGACACCAAATCAATTTCCGCACCCAATAAATTTTTTCTGTAACTTGTCAATCACTGAAAGTATTAATTATAGTATAACTCTATAAATGTGTTTATTCTCTATTATCAGACAGTGTGGTTGTTTAGCATATATTTATATCACTTTGCTAATATATTTTTAGGCAATTTATTAAACAATGAAACTATCAATTAGAATTCTATAAAAATCTTTGTTATCTTTTGGACAGTGTGATCATTTATGCGGTCCGGGGAAGCAAACGAGAAAAGTGACATGTTACATGAAGGTGAACGGAAAGATTCAACTGCTGAAGGATCAGGCCTGCGAGGGAGAGGTTCCCAAATCTGAGAAACCTTGCGAATTGAGACCTTGCGCCGGCCTCGACTGGGTCACGTCGGATTGGAGTGGAGTAAGCTCGTAATTTTTCACGCGATACCCACCCGAAGATCACCGCGTTCCATTAAAAATATTCCCCGCGAAAAAGTAGAAGCTTCTCATAGAAATATTTTTGGCAAGCAATATTACAAAAGCCACGTACAAATGAAATGTGTCCCATTTCTTTTCGTGTCACGGACGTTCTTTGCGATTATCACCTGACTCTGGTCACTTTTCGTTTAGTGCGACGACAAATGTGGTCTGACTGAAGAGACTAGGACCACGTACTGCGCTACTCAAGATGGGACCGTTTATCCGGACGAAAAATGCGACGCTGAAAAGAAGCCGGAATTGACGCGAGATTGCGAAGCTGAAAAGGATTGCGAATTCCTCTGGTTCGCCTCTCAATGGAGCGATGTAAGTCAATTACATTTCTTCTTGGAAAGCTTTTCAAATTATATAACGACATTAAATTTATTTCTTGAAGAATTGGAACTGCAATTATTCTTCATTTTCTAGACATTTACAACTTCTACAAGTCTAGAACGTCCTATTACGAAAATGAAACAAAATGAACTTTAAAAATAACGTTTAATCCGATACTTTTTTCAAATTTAAAAGGATTATAGTTTGTACTGTTATACATATTATTGCGTTCGTTATTAAAATAAAAGTCCTCCTCGAGAGGGTTAATACACCCTTTGATGTTAGTTTAACATAAAGGATGTATATAATGGCACAAAATCAACAAAATTCATTATTCAAGTCACACTTGACACACAATTATTTTGATCCCATAGTGTTCAGCGAAATGTGGGTCAGGTGTACAGACACGCAAGGTGTTCTGTGGCACGTTCGATGATGAAACGGTGAAGAAAGTGCCAGACGAGAAGTGCGACGCAGACAAGAAATTCAACGAGACGAAGAGCTGCATCGCCAAGGAAGAGTGCAAAGGTGAATGGTTCGCTGGTCCATGGAGCAAGGTAATGTATATATTTGAAATAATCTTGACTATTCCCTAGGTTTTCTCCTCTTCAACTTTTCTCAACGATTCTGACGAAGACCATTCATTTTAAGTATGTAGTTTCAAGAATAATTTCGTATATCAAAGATGAGAAAATTTATTTAAAAAAAAAAGTAACGAATAAAAGGATTATTATTAAGATGAATAATAAATATAAGAGAACAGATGTATAATAAAATAACGATAGAGACAAATGCAAGTATAACCAAAAAATGGTGTTCTAATGTTAAGTAAATACCATTGACACGGATAACTCGAGAAACGAAGTTTCTTTCAAATAATTTCATAATGCTTCATCTAGCCTTTCTTCTTCAATTTCTCCTTGAACAAACGGAATCGTTGACAAGAATTGTAGAGGCTGATTTTTTTTTTCGAAAATCTCGTTAGCGACGTGAAATATCCGCGAGAAATACATCGTGTCCTATTCCCTCGGTCGCCGAAGAAATTCAATATCTTCGACGGCTTTGTAGCGAACCTAACAAGAAGCGTCCGCCTCAAATTTCTTCCATTAATCACCTTACCGTGTTCCAGTGCTCGAAACCGTGTGGTGGTGGCACGATGAATCGCAAGGTGATTTGCATGAAAGCCAACATGACGGTCACAATGAACAACTGCGACACTAATACGATCATATTCTCCATGGAAAATTGCAACAACCAAGCTTGCGAGGAAGGTACGTCCTAAATCTGGGAGAAGTCCAGAAAAGTTGAAAACTGATTCATGTTGCAATTAAAAAATCAGGTTTTCTAGTGTTTTAATAAGTCACCTAAACTAATTCAATTATATTAATTTATGTATTCAGTGTTCTTAATGTAAGTGTCGTTTCTCTCCAGAAATAAACAATAATCAAGGATAATTTAGTTAATCAAAATCTTGTTTTCAGACGAGGTGATACCAATGCAACCAGAGAAAATCCCAGATCTCACTGAAGAGGACGAAGAGTGCGAAGTGTACGAGGATGAAAACTTCGTGACTGTCTCTTCAAGCTTGATACCTAGCGTAAGTGAAATTTGGTCGTAGTTAATCAAATACTTAGTTTCACAGCTTCTTCATCCATCGTTACATTTATATCTCATTTTCCTATGAATGTGATGTTAATTTATCATTTTTCTATTAGTACAGGTGTTATTAAAATTTATTTTCTCAATTTACTTTTACGATTTTCCCGATTTACATAAAAATGTAATTTTATCTATTGATTTAGGATAAATCTAGTAAAATGTTAGATCTTACGGAAGCAACTCCTCTGAGCTCGCCAGATACGAGTGATACTACCGGAAGCGACATATATGATAAAATGCAAGGGGATGCCGGATATACCAGGGGCGACATATCTCCTGGAGAAATGGAAATGGGTGAAGGAAGTGGGACAGATTTCACGGATATATACACATACACATCAGGGTTTGAATCGACGTTCGAAGGCAGTGGAACCAACGAGGTTACCGAAGATGGTGAACTGTTTGCAACGGAATTTGGAATAACGGAAATCGGCGTGACCGAAGAGATCGAATCCACCATGAATTCTAGTGACGAATCGACAGTTGAATCGATGACTGAGTCTGATGGTGAGTTAATGTGATTTCATTCTTAAGAATTATAGCGTGGTAAAGAAATTGCTTAATTGAAATGCCTATCTGTATTCCGAAAAAATAATATTTGAAGACATTTCCTTTTTAACCCGATAATATAGTAAGTTCTAGTCTTTTGGCCTTAATTGGGGTATAAATTTAATGTATTGACAACAAATTTTATTGTGAAATTATCTTATTGAATAATTACATTGTTTGAAAAATATCACAAAATAATTCAGGAACAGATATGACAACTGAGTCTGGCGAAACTAAAGAAACAACAACTGGATCGAGCGACGAGACTACCGAAATGCTGGAGGGCACTGAGAGTGGACCAACCGAGGCCACGGAATCCACTGAATCGGGCCCAACCACGTCTTCGTCGGAAACCGAAAGCACGGTTACTGAGCAGACCATTTCAACAGAAATGACCCCTACCGAGGAATCTGGTAAATCGTAATTCCGTTATTGTATAAACAGAAATGTTACGTTAGAAACACCATCAATTAAATATTTTGAAATACTAAATAACAACGCAATTATATTAACAATTAGTTATATGTTAATGGTACAAGTGCAATTTAATTATACGATGACTTTTGATCTACATGATAAAGTACACTACAAATTCTTCACATAAAGGCTTCTACTTTTTTCTTTCTAAAAGTTTTGCCTCTCATTCTGAACTCCGAACTAACTAAGTATTGTTGCTGTTAATTATTAATTTTATATATCAGCAGTTACGTTTGAAACAACATCAGAAGTAGAAGAAACGGGTGTGACTGAAGAAACAACAGAATCAGGTGCCACCGAAGAAAGTACCGAATCAGGATCAACAGAACCAACGATGTCTACGGAATCAGGAGCTACAGAAGAAACCACAGAATCTGGTGTAATGACAGAAAGTACGCCAATAGAAATCACTGAGTCAACAGAATATGGAGCTACGACAGAGCCTGGAGCTACGACAGAATCTGGAGCTACGGCAGAATCTGCAGCTACGACAGAACCTGGAGCTACGACAGAATCTGCAGCAACGGAAATCACCGAATCAACAGAATCTGGAGCTACGGAAGTCACTGAATCAACAGAATCTGGAGCCACGACAGAATCTGGAGCTACAACAGAATCCGGAGCCACAACAGAATCTGGAGCTACGACAGAATCTGGAGCCACGACAGAATCTGGAGCCACGATAGAATCTGGAGCTACGACAGAATCTGGAGCCACAACAGAATCTGGAGCCACGACAGAATCTGGAGCCACGACAGAATCTGCAGCTACAACAGAGCCTGGAACCACCATAGAATCTGGAGCCACGACAGAATCTGGAGCCACGACAGAATCTGGAGCCACGACAGAATCAACAGAATCTGGAGCAACTACCGAAATCACGGAATCTGGTCCGACAGAAACTACCGAATCTGGCATGACAACAGAATCTGGTATGACTACAGAACCTGGCAAAACAATGACAGAACAAACGACAGTTTCCGGCGAAACCACCGAATCTGGCGCCACGACCGAATCAGGGGAAACTACAGAGTCTGGTGCAACCACTGAGAGCGGTGAAACCACTATGTCTGGCGTAACTGATACTACTGTTTCTGGATTGACACCGATCACTGAGGAAGCAAAATCGGAAGTAACTGAGAAGATAGACAGACGTAAGTACATTTAGTTCATTGATATGTTTTGTATTAATTAGTGTAAATTAAAAGATTCTATGAGATGGATTAGTTAGATAAAAGAAACTTTCATAAAATGAAAATGTATTAATAAAAGTATTATTTTAGAATAATATTTTATTTTAGAATATTAATTTTATTATCTAAATAATAAACGGTTAACGAAATAACGTTAAATAATACACGAGGATGAATTTTCTCTTTCAGTATTCGGATTCTGGACGACCATTGGCCCAGAAGAAACCACGCGCAAGCATCGCGTGTGCAAAGTGCTGAGGAAGAAGACCTGTAAGGCCTCGCCCTTCGGTTGCTGTTACGATGGAATTACTAAGGCTGAAGGACCGTTTGGCCAAGGATGTCCCACGGTACAGACTTGCAACGACACTAAATACGGTTGTTGTTCGGATGGAGTGTCTGCAGCCACTGGTCCGGAGAACCAAGGTTGCCCCGAATCACACTGCAAGGAAACGTTGTTCGGTTGTTGCCCTGATGGAATTATCGCTGCTGAGGGCAACGACTTCGAAGGATGCAAGAAACCTTGCAGCGAAACAGAGTTAGCATAATATTTTAAACATCACGATAGTTATTATGTTTTACAATATTCCAGAAAATAGGTTTTATTAATATTTTAAAGACATTGATAAGAGAAACAGTAAGTAGAATCTACATAATGTTTTATGCGTCATAAGAATAATATTTAATGTTTAATATACTGATATGAGAACTTCTGTTGCAATAATTAGTACGATATTTAATATATATTATATTTATTTAATTTTTAGATATTTGTTAATGATATTAAATAAATATTTCAGATTTGGATGTTGTCCGGATAACGAGACTCCAGCTAGCGGAAAGGATAATATCGGATGCTGCAATGTCACTGAATTTGGTTGCTGTCCTGATGGAATTAAGCCCGCTTCTGGACCAAATGAAGAAGGTACATTGTAATTTTTACTGCGTATATTTAAAAATCCTTAAATGTTATTAATCATATTGAGATGTTTGGTTAATATAATGACTACAGGTTGCGAAGAGGAAATTACTTCTGTCACACCTCTCACAGAAGAGTATGAAACAACTACAGTACAGGAAGATTGCGCAAATACCACCTACGGATGTTGTCCGAATGGTATTTCGATTGCTACTGGCACAAACTTCGCAGGATGCGGTGTTATAAATGCAGAGAACTGCTCTATATCGTACTTTGGATGTTGTCCTGATGGCGTCTCACCAGGTATGTTGCATAATTATATAAAAGTCTCAAAATATACATTTTCGAAAATTTCTGTAGTTCTCTAGCCAAACTTTTACAAATTCAAATGATTCTATTAGGTTTACTCTATTATCTGTAAAAGTACTTAATTCCAATTCCCACATATTACGCCATCTTCAATATTTCTATTCCAAGATAAATTCTTCTAAAAGTTTCGTTATGTCAATTTTCTAAAACATCTAATATTGTATTCAAATAAACTAAAAAGAAAACAAGAAACAAGAATCCTACCACGCTAATTTTCTAAAAATAGGCTGGTGATATATCAGAGTAAATTAAATATAAAAAGAATTCCAGTCTTCCAATTTTCTAAGATAATTACCAGCTAATACACATCACATGTAGCCCTGGGTCCCAACAACTATGGCTGTCACATGCCCTGCGAAAACAGTACTTATGGCTGTTGCGATGACGGTAGCACTCCTGCTCATGGTCCAAACAGAGAGGGTTGTTGTCTGTCGACACCGTTCAAGTGCTGTCCAGACAACATACTTCCAGCTCGCGGTCCAGATTTCTACGGTTGTGGCTGTCAATACTCGAGATTCGGATGCTGTCCAGATAACAGCACCGCTGCTCGTGGTCCAAACAACGAGGGCTGCGGTTGCAAGTATACAGCTAATGGTTGCTGTCCTAACCGCTTCACCCCGGCCACAGGACCAAATTACGAGGGCTGTCCGTGTTATACGTATCAATTTGGTTGCTGCCCTGATGGTGTCACCATCGCTAAAGGACCTCATGGACAAGGTAATTAGGCCAAAAACTGGAATCATGTTAATTCTGATATACATATAGTAGCGTGGTAAAGGGAAGTTTAAAATTCTTATTTACTCATATCTGCCTTAACTTAATTATTACTATTAATTATTAATATTAGAATTTTCCTTGCGAAAAGATCCTTATTAATAATCAAAGCATAAAAATACATAGAAATAGAAATACAGATGTAAATGGAACCAGAAATAGACAAATCTATAATCTTTATCTTTCTTCCTTATACAAATTAATTCTAATTCACTTCATATTGTGGAGAAACATAACTTCAAAATGTACTCAGTACCGCATCGTTTCTTGCAGGCTGCGGTTGTGAGAATACAGAATTCAAGTGCTGCTCGGATGGAAGAACTCCAGCAAAGGGTCCAAACTTCGCTGGATGCACTTGTGACACCTCGAAGTATGGATGTTGTCCCGATGGGGTGGAAGAAGCTCAAGGAGAAAACTTCGAGGGCTGTCTGTCTGTTCCATCTACTCCTGGGGCAGCGTGTGCTTTGGAGAAAGATAGAGGACCATGTCGGGACTTCACCGTCAAATGGTACTTCGACACGGAGTATGGTGGTTGCTCGCGGTTCTGGTATGGAGGTTGCGAGGGCAACGAGAATCGATTCAAGACGCAAGAAGAATGTAAGCAAGTGTGTGTGCAGCCCAAAGGAAAAGGTAAAGTACATAAAACAAAAAAAAATTCAAATTCATTTAAAACGTTGAAATACAATTGGATATTTAAGAAAAATTTTAAAATGATATATTTTTAGGGAATTAGTTTTTTATTAGAAAACATATGTACCTTCTCTGTAATAATTGTGACATTATAATATTTGCGCAATATTTACAACGTTTATGCGTACAAGTTAAATCTTTCTTATAGTTTTAAACATTGCATATTTTAATTATATCCGAGATATTAGAAGTCAAAACATTTCGCAGATTCATGTAACCTGCCAAAAATCTCTGGGCCCTGCGAGGGTTACTTCCCTACTTGGTATTACGACTCTGGAAGGAAACAGTGTGGTCAATTTGTCTATGGCGGTTGTCTCGGAAACGCGAATAAATTTAAAACGAAAGAAGAATGTGAAGAGCTTTGTGTCACTCCCGATGATTTGGGTAACTTCGCCAATTCTTATTAAAATTCCTTTCTCGTTTTTACCAATGTTTGACAACATTTACGACAAATCATTATTTTAATATGATAATAAATATTTTCAATTTACAATTTCTGTAATTCCAAAAAGTAAAAGTTAAGTTTATATTTTATATACTGCTACTTCATTGCTAATATGCTCTCTTGCATTTTGTTACTTATGAAGATCCGTGCGAGCAGTCGAAAGAGCCAGGTCCCTGCGAAGGCAACTTCACTAAATGGTATTTCAACGCAGAATCGCAAGCCTGCGAGCAATTCCGCTACGGTGGATGCAAAGGAAATGATAACAACTTCGCGACGGAAATCGCATGCCACCAACAATGCTTGCAACCAGGGAGGACACGAGGTACGTTCTCCAGCACAATTCTCTTGATTCGACATTCGCACGTATCATGCTCGTTCTACTGCCTGAACCCATTTTTCATATTAGATATTCTTTCCTACCAGATTCGTTTGAAAGTGTTTCAGATTTTTATCTATTGTTTTGCTTGTAGAACGAATCGAAGAACGTATATTTCGTATGGCAACCTTTTTGACAATTGTTTTTGATTTTCATTTTTTAAGCGATCTTTTTACAGTTGTTTTCTGACGAACGTGAAAGGAACAGAAGTACAGCTAGCAATGGGAGTGGAAAGATTTATTATTAATTTATTTAATAGTAATTTATTTAGACGATCAGAAAAATAATTCACGCGAGATTATTTTTTATTACATACTGTGAACAGAATTTTTTGATTAGTAGTCAATTTTCAAGCTGCGGTCAATCGGAGAAATTGAGATGAATAATTGAAACTAAATCGCCAGATAGTTCGTTCAAATTCCACAATACAATACAACGAAATACATTCGGATATATTAAATGGATATGAACTACGATTTTCTATTGTACTACAATTCTGGCGACTTAGTATTCGTCTGAAAATATCACGCCAACAATCCGAATCTACATTTTCAACCAAACATCAAACACGATCTCAGCAAACATTCAGGCACCGCATGTCACATAAAAGCACCAAATTGGCACCGACCATCGTCAAATATATCAAAGCTCTATGAGTAATCCGTAAAAATACATATTTCCAGTAAAACTGACGGACGTGTGCCGCCTGGAGAAAGATCCGGGCCCTTGTCCGGGCTCTGTGTTACGCTGGTATTATGACACCGTGCGTCAGATGTGTAGCCAATTTGTTTACGGCGGTTGTAAAGGCAATGCCAATAGATTCCTTACACGTGCTGCCTGTGAGCAGCGCTGCCCCGTAAAAGGTATCAGAAAAAGCAAAAAAGAAACAATCATAAAGAAAAAAAGAAAAAAAAGGGGAAAGAATCCAAGAAAAAGAAAGTGATCAAATAAAAAGGATAGCAGAGAAAAGAAAAAACGGGGAGATCAAAGGAACAAGCTTATCTGCTTCTTGTATAACAGTATCGCTAGCAATATTCAGAAAGAGAGTCGTTTCTCGTTCATTGATATTTGAGGAATGGTTTAATATTGGATAATTGAGAAATTACTCTCGATGTTGTCGTTGGTGATGGTTCGTTTGTCGTTGTCTCTATTTGTTGGCACAAAACATGATTAACCCTTTGACAACTAATATTAACTCTGCTGTGATCATCGAATGTTTATTTCAGCAACGAAAAGGATTTGTATTATTTCAAGAAGATATTTAAAACGAAATTAAATCGCGGGATCACGTGTATCAATAAAAATATTTTCATTTTAACGTTAGAAAAATTCGATTGTATCGAATATGCTTAAAAGATATAACAGGGTTTTAACTAACGCTAAAATTCGCATGGGATGAAATTTCATCCATGACAGCTTCCGAGAAATAGTGAAAATTATTATCTCTCGCCAGGTTTCATTCCATGTAAAGTATTTTCTTCAAAGTGACTGATGTCAAGGGGTTAACGAGAAAAGTGTTGATTGTAATTTGAATATCTTGGTTTTACAAATTTCTATTTCTTCTGCCTAACTATTGATCGTAATCGATTATATCAAGCATTGCCTTTTATCAAAGCACAGTATGCACTTAAAAGCACCCTTTCCATTTAAGTTGCACGCGATATCAAGCTGTCGTAGCGTTCTACGAGTCAATCCAATCAATGGAACTTGATTTTGTCGTATTATGTCCTCCGCAAAGCGGTTCTCGTCTCGAGATCGATCGTTCGATAGCTTTTGTCTGGCTTCGAACGAGCTCTCTCAATGGAGTAGTGCGATTTCCTTTCATTAATATTTTATGAGTGATCGCGTCGGTGATTTTTTATTGATGGTATTACAAGAAAGAAGGAAAGTCATTTAACTTGGTTAATTGGTATGACTTTAAAATTCAAATAATCGAGCTTTTCTTATTCTTTCATGAACGCACTGATTTTATTTGTCTCATTTCTTAATTGGTCGATCGTGATAAGAGAATTTAACGGAAAAATTTTAAACGGGATATTTTTTATGGTGAAATGTAGAAATAGAACTGGTAGCTGCACGAAATAATGCTTATATTTCAAAGGTCGTAAGATAGTTGCAATAACACAACAATTTACGACTTACAATAAATTATATAATTATGACCTTTATTTAATCTGTCAAAATATTGAAACATAAGATTAAATATATAATGGTAGAAATAATTGTACACGATACTAAATATGCTTTAAGAATTATATTAAAGAATTTAAAGATTTATGCCACTTTTTAAGTAGTATAATGCGTATTTTATTTTGGAGATTGCTGCATATTATGTGTATTTTGTAAATTTTAAGCGTTTAAATGTTTCGTAAAAATTGAATTTTACTTGATTAAAACTTTAATCATTAAAACGTGATTAAAATTAACTAATTTCTATCTTCAGATTTGATTTACTAGTTTGAACTACTTATTACTTGAAGTATACGTACATTTTTTTCATTGTTTTAATATTTTTTAGCACTCTGTATCGTGCATTAATTTAGAAAAAAAGACCGCAGATCGTTAACGACAATATACTACAATCTAATATTGCATGATATAATAATTAATGCGATTAACAGATAGTTGCTTGCTGCCACGAGCCGAAGGTAACTGTGGCGAGAAGCAATCTCGATGGTACTTTGATCAGTCGGAGAATCGGTGCATGCCATTCTATTATACCGGTTGCGGTGGGAATAAAAATAATTTCGAATCTAGGGACGCATGCGAGTCTGATTGCCCGACTAAAATTGGTAAGACTTCGTCTAATCACATTCATCTTATTTTCATCATATTTCTTAAACATACAACTATCTCTTCTCTGTTTTGTCTAAACTTTAGGTTCTTTTAAATTATAAAGTATCTTTCAACATATTCCTTTTAGTATAAATTAACAAAAAATAATCTAACGCTTACAACTTAATTAACGCTTTCCGTGTCAGTTTCGTTGTATTACCGTTATTCTTCCTTTCTTGTGTAATTGTTCTCGATGTCAACCGTACCGCATGCACGTAAATTGTTTTACGGATTACACTCGAATGTGCGTTTTTTGCAAAAACAAATATATTCTTAATATACGTCCATCGCATAAATATATTTGCAATAAATTAAGTTATATATGTTGTATGTTGCTTTATTTGTTACAAAATGTGAGGAAAGAAGTTCAATAAATCTTTAAAACGAATGAAAGGAAAACGAAAGAGATTTATTACAGAATTTTTCAAGAAATTGTTCCCGACGATTATTCGAGATTCAGGATAATATTTTAGTGATTTTCCAAGGATTTTATTGAGCTTTTTATTTCTCGGTATCATATGCTGAAGCAAGGCAGATTTCTTATGCTATCTTTGTCCAAACACAGAACAAGACACCTGTCTCCTGCCCGCGCTTTTGGGAGAATGCCACAATTATACTCAACGATGGTACTACGATTCGTACGAACAACAATGTAGACAATTTTACTATGGTGGTTGCGGCGGGAACGAGAATAATTTTGTTACCGAACAAGATTGCTTTAACAGGTGCCAAACTACTACGAGCACCATCACACCATCGGAAGAGGACGGATTTAGACCAGGTAATATTTTGGTAGCTAAAATATCGGATATTTTGTCTAATACAACCCCAATATTTGCAGATAAAATGGAACATTGGGATTACATGAATTAAACATAAAAATGCGAATTTAAAGTTTAATACGTAAAATTTTCCAGATTTCTGCTTCCTTTCGAAGTATACTGGTCAATGCTCCGAAGAACACGTCAAATGGTTCTACGACAGCGGCGATGGTGTCTGCAAGCAATTTATATATAGCGGCTGCCAGAGCAATGGAAATAATTTCGACAGTCACGAAGAGTGCGAATATCGATGTGGAGATGTTCAAGGTTTGTATCATTACACATTACACATATGTGACTGCGCTTTCTCTTGCGCAATTCAACCAATATTATTAACTAGTGAAACTTTGAAATAGAAAATGAAATTAGAATTAATAATGCAGTATCGTGGAAAGATTAATCAAGAAAGACCCGATGAAATACAGTGCAGATAGAAGGTGGAAATACTGATAGGTCAGAAGGGAGGGAAAATTCCAACGGGCCAAGTGGCTCATCAATATGTCCTTTAGAAAAATAGTTACTTGGAAAGGCGTACGTGACCATCGTCGGTCATGGACGACTGCGGAACGCGTGCGTGTTGTGGGAATACGAAAACTATGATGATAAAGGGATGTCTTGGTGGAGAAAGTCAGTTAGTCTAATTGTTCGTTAGTTGAGAGTTAGTTGCGAGCGAGTTGGGGGGCGAGTTGCGAGTTAGTTGCGAGAGAGTCGTTAATCATTAGTTGTCGAGTTGTTGTGAGTTGTTAGTTGTGAATTATCCATTTAGTTGTTTTAGTTATATTACATTACTACATTAAGCTCTAATTAAGTAATCATCGTTTTCTTGTTTCAATCACTGTAAATAAATTTACCATAAATATTAAATTTACCATAATCACTATAATAAATTCTCTTGCACTATAGTAACAAGTTTGACAACAAAAGACACGAAATTCTGAAAATAAACTTTACAAATTGCAAGTCGTTTAATTATAATTTGAGAAAAATGGAGAAATCATTACTTTAAATATAATACTTACTACTAATTGCTCTAATGGTTACACTATGTATCTTTCTCATACTTTTTTCTTTTTACTTCTTTCTTCAGATCCATGCACTCTACCCAAAGTCATTGGTCCCTGCAATGGTGTCGTTAAACAACACTACTACGACCATCAATCAGATTCTTGCTACGAATTCGAATATAGCGGTTGCCAGGGTAATAAGAATCGTTTCCAGGATAAAGAATCCTGTGAAAGGAAGTGTCAGAAACATGTTCAAACAGAAACACCTACAAATGTTACTGTCGTACCTATTGTATCAGTTGAAACTGTCTCGAAGAATCCGATTTGTTACAAGACTGTCGATCCTGGTTCTTGCAATGGTGATATCACCGCTTATTACTATGATTCACACAATCAGTTGTGTCAAGCGTTTATCTATGGCGGCTGTGAAGGAAACGCGAATAGGTTCCAGACGGAAGAACAGTGTGAACGTCTTTGCGGAAAATTCCATGGTCAAGGTATGTGTAGTGATTTTATTACTTTTATTACTATTCAGCCAGCATGGTTTGTAGGACTATAGCTCTATATACAGGATATTACAAAATTTATCGGAAAAATATCTACAGATATATGCATAGAATCGATTCTAGACATCAAGATGATAAAATTTTAATGGATTTATAGATATAGCTACATTTGAATCTTTCGTAATGAAACTTAATTTAACAGCAATTTATCAACGTTATTAGTTATGATATAACTATAGCCAAATTCTAAACAAGATTCAGGGTAAAATTGTATTTTTAGAGATTTTAGACATTTTAAGCGGTTTTATTATCGTTTTATAATTCTTTTTACTATTCTTAGGATATTTAGTAAGATAAAATTCAGTGATATTATATAGATATATAATGATTATATAAAACAGATTAATAAATATTGATTCTATTTAAAATATATTCATGAATTATTGTCTAATTTTTCTATTGTCTAATCAACAGATTATCATATGTATTCCAAAGAAATTGAGTAATAATTTGAAAGATTCCTCTGTTGTGCAACTTTATTAAATCTTTATTAAAAAATTCTTTTTACAGATATGTGTAATCTACCAGTGGATTCTGGCGTTTGTAGAGGCTCTTTCGCCAAATACTACTATGATTATGTCAGTCGCGTTTGTCGCGAGTTTTTGTACGGCGGATGTGAAGGCAACGCGAATAGATTCAGCACGATGGCAGAGTGTGAATCGATTTGCATTCATCACGAAGAACCCGTGCCACCTGGAAACGGTACCAGCCTCTCAAGCTTGTGTAAGTACTTCCATTTGTTTGATACGCAAAATTCCACCCAAACTTACTAACAACGTAAACGATCTCCGAAATCTTTAAACGAAACGCGAAAGAAATTCGAAAGAATATTACTCGAAAAGAATTTCTCATAATTTTCTATCAATAAATCTTTGAAAAGAAATCGGGAATTTCTTTTCGAGAGAATAAAATTAGCTCGCGACAACAATAATTTTGAACAATGATGATCCAGCGATTTGCAAAGAACCGGTCGACACAGGATCTTGTGCTTCGGGTCGACATGATTATACCAAGCGATTCTATTTCGACGACGAACAACAAACATGTCGAGGGTTCATTTATACTGGATGTGGTGGAAATCGTAACAGATTCAAGACTTTCGAGTCTTGCATTAGCACTTGTCTTACCAGTAAGTCGAGTAAGTCGAGGAACGGTGTTCCCCAACGATCTAAACGATATTTTTGTTACATGTTTAATATTTTGAGCTTCGAACATGGTGAACACATTTTCATTATTGCATATCACTGTACATTGTAGCCTTAATGTTTTATATCAATGTTGTTACAAATCCTTTGTTGTTACCTTTCCCTAACATCCTTTTTCTATCTGGAGGGGAAGAGCACGATAAATCACATTTTCTATTTCTCTTTTACAAAGCAATGGATTTTAATTTAACTGTTTAATTTTAATCATTTTACTTTAAAATATTCCTTCCGAGTCATAAAGCGACATTGTCTGTTTGTCTAAAAAACTCTACTTCTTATTTTTCCACAGTTTTTATTCCTCAACCGTTTATCCTATCAGCTATTATTGTTCCTAGTTGTAAGCTTCAAAATTTGTGTAATATTGCTTTCACCGCAATATGTTTTTTATTATTCTTTTATTATTACTTTTTGTATACATTTTTATATTTTTTTCTTTCTATTGTAAGAATGTTTGTATTTTTCTTTGCTGTGACTGTAATGGGTGTTTTCATAGCTACTAACGAGATCGACTCCGAAGAGAATAAAAAGGATCCTTGTGCGGAAGCTCGCGAGGAATGCAATATGATTCGTTGTCCTTACGGCAAAGAGGAGTTCGTAGATTCTCAGGATTGCGGACGATGTCGTTGCGTGGATCCTTGCAGGACACAGGTTTGTCCCGATGACACCAAATGTGCTATTACTCTGGTTGGTACCGAGGATGGCACCGAATACAGAGGAGTTTGTAGATCAGGTAACTGGAAACATTAAGTTCTTTATATTTTCTATATTGTCTGTATTGAAGATAAAAAAGGAGAACATGCGGTAGATCGATAAAATTAAAAATACCTTCTCTTCTTTCTTAATCTTCTTTTCATTTATCGATTTCAGATCCAGTCATAACCAAATCCACTTACAAGAATCCAAATACCATATCCATCCTAACTTTGTTAATTTTTCCCTCTTCTAACGAAAGTCTGCCGATTTCGACTGACGACAAGTTACATAGTAAAGTAATTAAACATTTTTCTCCTTTTAATAAGAAACAAACCGACATTAACATCTAGAATTGGTGCTCCTCTTTTTATCTCGTAGACTAAATGAATTTCTCCTGCCATGATTTAACTTTGCAATTTACCGCTCATATTCACGATAAACCTATTAAATATATGACGAAAAATTGTTATACGAATGACGTCAACTAATAGTTTCCCAATTACTATTACTTGCATAATTTAACTGTATATAATATAATAATTCGTTTTTAATTTAGTCACGAAATCAGGCCGCTGTCCGAGCGTATCGAACAGCACAAGATGCGAACAGGAATGTCTCACAGACGCTGATTGCGCCGGAGAAATGAAATGTTGTAACAATGGATGCGGCGCTTCCTGTCTTGAACCGGCTGTCGATGAAGTTCTATCGACTACTCCACGACCGGTAATCACTGCACGGCCGGTTGGTTCGGAACCAGCTTCGATCAAGCCACCGGAAGAACCAAACGTTAGCGCTCAGGAGGGTGGCTATGTGACATTGAAGTGTGTTGCTTTCGGGCATCCAAAACCAACCATTACGTGGAGGAAGGGCACAATGCTGGTGAGATTTTTTATAAATTATAAAATATAATCTTAGTTCTAGGAAAACACGCGTTCTGTCTTCATATCTACAATCTTCAATTTTATCGGATCCTGAATTTATCGGAAAAACGATTGCAAATTGATGAAATTGGATAAAACTTAAAGTTAGGGATATTATTAAAGTATGAGATGTATGGTGTAATAGGTACGGAAGGTACACTCAAGTATGTTCAACCAATAACGTTTATTAAACTCTATCACTCGATAACAACGAATAACAATTAACAATTAACAACAGCGACGATTAACCGATCTCTCGAAAATACCCGACTCTTCGCCATTCGCGCTTCGCGGCTCGGGGTAGAATGTCCTTTTTTCAGATCTATCTGATTCTTCCCTTCGTTACCCTCACTAGCGTGCGTTCATTACATGTGCCGCCGCGGCTGGCACGTGTATGCTCTTCCGAGAAATTCGGCGGAAGGAACGTGAAGATATCGATGGCACATTGGGCACGTCGGTATTGCGCTTTGACGGCATAGCGTTTTGTATCCGCCACAGTACCCCCTTACCAGTGATAACGCTACGTAAATAAAAAACAATAAATATTACAAAGCAGTGCACATTCGCCGGTTCCTAACGCCTATCCGAAACCTGCCTGAAGCCGATCTAGAAATCGGACTCTTCGCCCAGACCGCGTAACGTATCTATTCCGGGTATTTTCTTCGTTCGTCGTTTGGTTATTGTCGTTTGCCCCGTTTTTGTCACGAACATTCGTTTGGTCTACCGGAATTAGCACGTTGCGAGTCTCAGCGGTTCTTTACTCGAGGTTTTCGGGAATGACGAACGCGGGCTTCAACCGACCTACGGAAACCATTATGTCGATTATTTATGCGATTATTTATTTTTTACCGTATATGTCTTATCGCCTCTCTGTATAACTTTATACGGTCCATCGTACGGTGGCTGTAATGGTCCTCCAATCGCGCGTCATGGCGCACGAACACGTATGGCGACGTCTCTAATTCCTTGAAAACGAAAATTTTACGCCGTGACATGTAACCGAGTGTGGTCTGATCCTCTCTCTATACGTTCTCTCAGCCGATTCGCGTATTCCGAGTTGGCCCGTTGACTAGTTGATAAGAAGAATTCCGCCGGCAAACGTATGCCGGTGCCGTAAATCATTTCGGCCGCCGTTGCGTTTAGGTCCTTTATCGCGGCTCTCATACCTAATAAGACGATCGGCAGAATTCCGACCCAGTTGCTCGTGTCGTGACATTTAATCGCCGCCTTTAGTTGTCTGTGTAGGCGTTCTACCATCCCGTTAGACGCTGGATGGTAGGCCGTTGTACGCAAATGTTTGACGCCGAGCAACCGGCATAATTCCTCGAATAAACGCGATTCGAATTGACGTCCTTGATCGGTTGTAATTTTCAAAGGTACGCCGAAACGAGATATTCAGGTAAAAAGGAGGGCCGAAGCCACGGTTGGCGCTTCCATATCGGCGATAGGAATGGCTTCGCGAAACGCGAAAAACGATCGATACATGTTAGACAATACTGGTATCCTTGCAAATATTGCATGGCGATGATGTCTAAGTGTATATGCTCGAACCGGCATGCTAACTTTCCAAACGTTCCAACAGACGAGAATACGTGCCTGGTGACTTTATTGCGCTGACACACGTCCACGTTCGGCAATCTTTATTTACGGACGGCCAGACGAAGCGCGTAGTTACTAATTTTTGCGTACTACGCATCCCCGGATGGGAAAGTCCATATAGCGATTGGAATACGATGCGCCGTAACGGTTCCGGTACGTACGGTCACACGGTCTCGGCTGTAATATCGCAATATGTTTCCCGATCGCTTCGATGCGAGATAGAGTATCGGCTAGGCTGTTCTCTACCCCTTTTATATGTCGGATATCGATCGTAAACTGTCCGACGTAGTCCAGATGTCGAAACTATCTTAGCGAACACTTGTCGAGGTTCTGGTTGAACGCGTAAATTAGGGGTTTGTGATCTGTATAGATCGCGAATTATCTACCTTCGACGGCATGTCGAAAGCGTTTAACTGCGTAGTACATCGCCAGCAATTCCCGATCCTACGCGCTGTATTTTCGTTGCGCGGGGGATAGAATTTTCGTCATAAAGCCTAGTGGTTGCCAAGAATCGTTGACGCGCTGCTGAAATACCGCACCAATAGCGTAGTCGGATGCGTCAACCGCGAGGCTAACGGGCGCGCAGGGGATCGGGTGCGCTAACATTGTCGCGTCGGCCAAAACGCGTTTCGACTCGCGGAAGCTTTTTTCGGCATGCTCGGACCACTCAATAGACGCGTTGCGCTTCGTTGTGCCTTTCAATAAGTCGTTGAGTGGTCGGAAAGTATACGCGGCTCTCGGTATGAAACATCTGTAGAAGTTAATCATATCGAGGTATCTTCGAAGATCTTTAACCAGCCAGCGGCTTTATCCCTTCGGCGGTTACAGTATAACCGAGGAATTGAATTTCGCGGACGCCGAATTCGCACTTCGCGCTATTAATAACGATCCCGTAGTCGTTGAGGCGTTTAAACAGGACCCGCAAGTGTTCGCGGTGTTGCTCGTCATTCTCGGAAGCTACGAGGAAATCGTCTATATATGCGTAGACGAAATCAAGGCCTCGTATGATTTCGTCTACGAATCTCTGACATGTTTGCGCGGCGTTCCGAAGCCCAAACATCATCTTGGTAGCTTCGAACAGACCGAACGGTGTTGTTATGGCTGTTTTCTCGACGCCTTCCGGTGCAATCGGAATTTGATGGTAAACGCGAATGAGGTCGATTTTAGAAAAAATGCGCTTACCATGTAAGTCTGTGCGAAATCCTCTATGTGCGGCGGTGTATATTTGTCCGGGATGGTGTGGGCGTTCAACGGCCGGTAGTCGCCACACGGTCGAATCCCTCCGTCTTTTTTGGAACGACGTGTAAGTCCATGCCCATGGACTTCTCGATGGCTGCATCACGCCTTGCTCACTCATGACTTCGAACTCCGTCTTAACCTGTTTAAGTCGGTCAGGTGCAAGTCGGCGGGGTTTGCTGTAGACAGGCGGGCCTGGTGTCGTTTCGATGTGATGTACCACACCGTACCGAGTTTTCTCTCGTCCGAAAGCCAGTGGGCGGGTTAGATCCGGAAATTCGGCGAGGAGTCGGTGATACGTCGATTCTCCGATAATTGTCTTGATCGACGCCGTCTGAGTCGTGGCCGTATCCTCTCGTCGACCGGTTCGAAGTAGAATCTATAAGGCGTTTATTCCTCGCGTCCACCCACAATTCGTAATGATTGAGGAAATCCACACCGATGATGGGTGTGTCGACGTCCGCTGTAATGAAACGCCATTTCATCGTTCGACGCAATGCCAAGTCGAGGGACACTAGGATGGTACCGTAGGTCGCGATGCGTGACCCGTTAGCCGCGAACAATTCGTACGTATCTTCGTTCGCGGGCCCGTGTATTTTGTTGCGCGGAAATACACATACGTTGGCGCCGGTGTCCACTAGGAAGGAGATTTTTGAGCTCCTGTCCCTTACAAATATGCGGCGGGATGTTAGGCCGTCGTCGCTTGCCGCGTTTACGGACGGCCGGTTTCGTTTCTGGCCGGCCTCGTTTCTCTGGTTCCATGTACATGGTGAACGGCACTTCTTCGCGCGTGCTCGGAACGTCGCATGATAGTAACAAAGACCGGAGTCCTGTGATTCTTCTCTCGGGCGCGGTCCGTACCGTCTCGTGTTTGGACGTTGGTAGCGGCGCCAGTAGAGGCGCAGTGCCTCGATTTGTGCCTCTATTCTGAGCTTCCCGCTCTTTCGGTCTCGATAACAGCTACCTTCTGTCTTCTCAACGAATGTGTCTCGTAGATCCGGTCGGCCGCCCGCGTTAACTTTTCTACATCCGTTTCATCCACCGCGGCCAGGGCGATGTCTAGATATTCCGGAAGTCGCTCCCTCCAGCGTGTGAGGAGGAAGTCGTCCGGCATGGAGGGACCGGCTAGTCTTCTCAGGTGTTTGTAGAATTGGGACGGCTTTCGGTCGCCCAATCAGTCAGCAGCCTGCGTGACCTCGTGCCGGCTTTATCAGCCAACTCTCGAATGATTTCGTTTTTTAACTTATCATATTGTTCCGCCTCTGGTATCCTCTTCACGTCCTCGATATGAGACAGATACCAGTCGCCGAGGCACCTGACGAGGGTCGCGAACTTTCGCTTGTCGTCCGTAAGATCCATGTCCTCGAATTGCATCTCCAGAAGCGTAAACCACACCGTGACCTCCGAAGGCTGCAGTGGGGGCATGTTAATTATTTGGCAGGCTCGTTGTGCGCCGTTCACGATCCCGTCGGTATTTGCCATCGCACAGCTGTTTTAATTCGCGACGTTTAGAGTCTCAGTATCACTATCACAGTCACTTCTTTAACTTTAACTCACGTCGAGGTCACCAGTTTGAGGTGTATGGTGTAATAGGTACTGAAGGTACACTCAAGTATGTTCAACCAATAACGTTTATTAAACTCTATCACTCGATAACAATGAATAACAATTAACAATTAATAACAGTTGACACTTGACGACGATTAACAACAGCGACGATTGACCGATCTCTCGAAAATAGCCGACTCGTTTCTCTTTACCATTCGCGCTTCGCGGCTCGGGGTAGAATGTCCTTTTTTCAGATTGAACTGATTCTTCCCTTTGTTGCCTATCGATATCCCCACTAGCGTGCGTTCATTAGATGTGCCGCCGCGGCTGGCACGTGTATGCTCTTCCGAGAAATTCGGCGGAAGGAGCGTGAAGATATCGATGGCATATTGGGCACGTCGGTATTGCGCTTTGACGGCGTAGCGCTTTGTATCACGAAGCCGTTGGAAAGTTCCGTGATCCGTGCCGCCATAAGTATTATAAAAAAGGATTTGTGTTGTTTTAAATTTTATCGGATTCTGCCTTTGTAAGAATAAAAGACTACAAATAAATGACGTTAGATAAGGATTAGAGTATTGCAAAATTTAAATATTAGATGGAATTGTAATAATAACAAAGATTAATGACTCCAGATTGCAGCTTCAGAGAGCAGGCGTCGCATATTGCTCGATGGTTCTCTTCAAATCATTAATTTAGACCGATACGACGGAGGAACTTATGTCTGCACAGCTGACAATGGTTTAGGACCACCGGTAAGAGTGGAATACCAATTGGTGGTCACAGGTACGTACTATACGTTAAGTACTATAAAGACTGTCTTGACGTCTTGTAATGATGAATGTATCGTGCATCGTAGACTTAATGATTGATCTCTTTACTTGATCTTTTAGTAGCTGATCTAACCAATTTTATGTAGAAATGTTCTGCCATGTGTTTACTAGTAATAGCACGTTTTAACTATTCACTTAAAAAAATTGCAATTAATTAGAACAAGAAGGAAATGGAAACACAAATATATCCATAAACCGCGGCAGAGTTAGCTTTACTTTTAAACTACCCTTCTTTGCAATAATTGGTGATGGTATTCAACGTTCTTCTCTTCTGCATGCTATTTTCTCTTACACACTATACAGAGCCGAGAGAACTGGCTGCGGCTATCATTGGAGAGCCTAACGCTAGCGTGACGGTAACCATGAACTCCCCCATATCTCTGCACTGCTACGCATGGGGTTGGCCTAGACCTTTTGTCACTTGGTGGCAAGGCGATCGCATGTTACCACTGTCTTCGGAAATTTACGAACAGGATTCCGACTACACGCTTTTGATCCGAACCGTCACGCTGCCCACGTTGGGCGTTTACACATGTCAAGCGTTTAACGCGATTGGCAGAGCTGCCTCTTGGTCGGTAATATTACAAGCTGTCGGTCCAGTGTACAACATCAATCCCGAATACGAACAATATCTCAAGTATCTGGTCGATCCTCCTAAAAAAGATGAGAATATTCTGTATTCCTATAGACCTAACAGAACTCAAACTACTGACTTTCATACCTATGGATTTGTGTACACGACCAGACAAACACATATTTCTACGGTCAATCCTATTGGATATACTACTTTGGACTTTGCTTCGAGGTTCAGAGGTGAGAGGGTACTCTACTGTAGTCTTTTCCCGTTTTCCCATTGCACCGTACTGAAAGATATTGTCAAAATATTAAATATATTATCAATTAGGATTTTGATGTTTTCCAAATTCATATCATAGAATTATTTATAATAATAAAATGAAATGGAAGAAAGGTGTTGTTTAATACTAGAACTTTTTAATTCGTTATTCCTGCAATTAGTAAAAATTTGTGAATCCTATAGATAAAATTAATGCTGACTTTTATTGAAATGATGTTAAACAGAAGTGGCATGCATATCTTTCGAGAGCACAGTGCAATTTGGTTTTTCTCTCTTCTTTTGTAACGACTGCGAATGCTTCGGTTTCATTATATGTTATATTGACCATGCTTAATTTGCTTGCATGCATGTTCTTACTAGTAATGATTATGTTCAATTTATGTACAATGTTTATGTTAATAATAAACGATAAAAAGAGGTAAGCACACGATCTATAATATACTCAAATTACTTTCTGTATTTTTTCTTTCTTTCTTTTTTTCTCTTGACAATTTCATTTACAAATATTTCTTAATGTGAAATCAATTATTTCGCAGTGCCTGTCACGGCAAACATATCGATAGGACAAAACCAATTCCCAGAAGGTAGTGACGTTACTATCGCTTGTAACGTCGATGGATATCCGATTCCTCGAGTATTGTGGTACAAAGATAACGAGCTGATTCACCAAAACAATCGAATTCAAATTACTGGTAGGTACTTCTATTTATCTAGCATTATTGAATAATTCATTTTTTCAGCAGAGAAATTGTTCAAAAAATGTGTGAAATTTTATTTCCAGATTTGAACAGACTTGTGATCAGCGACGCAAATCGAGAAGACTCTGGTCAATACCGTTGCGAAGCGAACAACGATTATTCGTCTGCTTTTGCGATGGTGGATATACAAGTTGCTGGTAAACCTTTGTATTTTCTATATACTGTACAGACGAAAGTATCCGAAAGCTGAAATCAAAATTAATTTTTACTGACCAGTATAATTTTAAAATAATATTTTATTTACCATTATTTTATTTACGCAAATTTTGAAACAACTATAACTTCTAGAAACAGAAATTTTTGAATTTCAAGTATTCAACTTGTCAATAATAATATATATATGTCGGAGATGAAAGAACACCTGAACCTTTGGAATTTTGGATAATCCCGCAACATTGTAATCTAGAGTCTACTATAGCTGTAATTAAACAATTGTAGTTATTCAATCCGATTGTAATTGTTCGAGAGTTATGATAATGAGCTTGGGCTCGAGGCGACAGCCAGTCGCCGAACTTAGCCGCGGTCACGGGATGAACGCATTGTCTAATAAAGGCATGGAGTAATTCTATAGCTCTCCTTAAAAGAAATATTTGTGGCGGCACGCGACAGTAAACATCCCAACGGTTTCTGTCTCGTGGCTCGCCACACGCAGACCCCATTCTTCGGTTTTGTGATTATCGCATTCTCAATTTAGTTTTCGATATATTCGTCGGAGATGAAAGAACACCGGAGCCTTTGGAATTTTGGATAATCCCGCAACATTGTAATCTAGAGTCTATTATAGCTGTAATTAAACAATTGTAGTTATTCAACCCGATTGTAATTGTTCTCGAGTTATGATAATGAGCTTGGGCTCGAGGCGACAGCCAGTCGCCGAACGTAGCCGCGGTCAGGGGATGAACGCTTTGTCTAACAAAGGTATGGAGTAATTCTATAGCTCTCCTTAAAAGAAATATGTGTGGCGGCACGCGACAGTAAACATCCCAACGGTTTCTGTCTCGTGGCCCGCCACACGCAGACCCTATTCTTCGAACAAGATGATTGCCAGATGTCGATGCGTCTTCGGAGTACATGTTCAGCTTCTTGAAAAACCTTCCGCCAAAAGCGATGAGACAAATCACAATAATAGTAAACGCAATACTAAGAGTACAATACTTTCCAAAAGCTTGGAAACTGGCACAAATCATAATGATACCCAAACCAGGCAAGGACCCACACGAAACCAAGTCTTACCGACCAATCTCACTACTTCCGGTGTTCTCTAAGATACTAGAGAAAATAATCTACGACCGGATAAAACTAATAATAGAGAAGAATCATCTAATACCGGATCACCAATTCGGATTCAGAAACAAATACTCCACAATAGAACAAACGCACAGACATGTCAATGAAATCCTACAGGCGCTGGAAACAAAACAATACTGCACGGCACTCTTTATGGACATCGACAAAGAATTCGATAAAATAAACCACACTAGCCTACTACAATCGATCAGGAAACAGTTCCCGGGGCAGATATACCAACTAATCAAATCATACCTAAGCAACAGAAGCTTCATAGTAAAAATCAAAAACACACACTCAGAAGCTAAAGAAATCAAGGCAGGAGTTCCGCAAGGAAGCGTCCTAGGACCAATTTTATACTATCCTCGACGAATTCGATGATCTCGTGTCCCTAGACACACCCCATTATAGCTTTCCTCTGTGGCATCATTGGGACGGAAATTCATTCCCTCTCGCGTTCTCATCAACTACAGAGTAACGTCTTTACGATCAGTGATTACTTCACGTTTTATCAATAAAGATTCAGACTTAGATTTTGTGAGAACGTTCATCTATCATCCCGTTGACCGCGGATTCGTTATTGAACCTAGATCATTGTCATTAGTTTCTCGAATATCTAATTACCACGGTTACTTGCCCAACGGTTTCTGTCTCGTGGCCCGCCACACGCAGACCCTATTCTTCGAACAAGATGATTGCCAGATGTCGATGCGTCTTCGGAGTACATGTTCAGCTTCTTGAAAAACCTTCCGCCAAAAGCGATGAGACAAATCACAATAATAGTAAACGCAATACTAAGAGTACAATACTTTCCAAAAGCTTGGAAACTGGCACAAATCATAATGATACCCAAACTTTTTTCAACGAACGGCGTCTCCCACTAGCAACGCCAATTTCCCTTACTTTCTGAACGAAGGCTATTGTCACGTAATTTTTAGGGTTGGTTGGTGAAAATAAAATATAGTTGAGTCGTAACACAACAATTAACTTTGTTTTAATCAACCTTTATTGTGAATTCACCAATCACAATGTAACACGCACTGAATTAGCATAAATCACAATTCACCCCAACCACGTTATGTAAGTCTTAGTTACAACAATACATTAAGTACGCGACTTATAAGGGTAGAGACCGATATAGATATGTTGACTATTCTAAGGATACAGAATAAGTGAAGTTTTACTGACGATACTGTGTCTGAGGAAAGCTAGGGGTGGGTGTGTCTAAGGACACGGGACTATCGGATTTGTTGATGACAATTTTGGTTAAGGAAGTGAGGGCAGTAGACACCGTCTCCGATTGGATAATAAGACGGTTGGTGGACCAGGAAGGGTTTTAGCCGCCCTCGCGAGAAAGTTGCTAACGGAACATACCAGATGTGGAGAAAACCAACTTTCTAAGCTAACACGTGGTAGACAATAAACGTAAAGGGAAATCTAAGACAGGAAATACTCGCTTGGTCCGAAGGACCTTAATTATGAAAATGCCAAGGCCCCTGGTGGGCACTTAAGACTATTGAGGGTGCGCGCCAAGGATATGCAGACATCTGGGTGTCATCATGTCCGTGGTGTGTGGCCTGGTCTCTGATGTGAATTGACGTTACACTATCCTCGACGAATTCGATGATCTCGTGTCCCTAGACACACCCCATTATAGCTTTCCTCTGTGGCATCATTGGGACGGAAATTCATTCCCTCTCGCGTTCTCATCAACTACAGAGTAACGTCTTTACGATCAGTGATTACTTCACGTTTTATCAATAAAGATTCAGACTTAGATTTTGTGAGAACGTTCATCTATCATCCCGTTGACCGCGGATTCGTTATTGAACCTAGATCATTGTCATTAGTTTCTCGAATATCTAATTACCACGGTTACTTGTCCAATTCTATAATAATCGTATTTGCACTAGTCAATGTCTTCTCTATTGCATAACGACAATGTGTAATCCAAATGAAGATGCGTTTCACGCCCCTAACCCTAATTCTAATGTAAACCCGACATATACATATAATTAGACAGATAAAAACTCTCTTAAAAAATAAAAGCTTATTTCAACAGTAAAAAAAGTTCAACTGTGCAAGAAAGTGCAACTATCTTCAACCAATTCAAAATATACAAATTCTCAACAATTTCAACATTTTGATAAATGACGTTATTATGTCATGAAAGAAACGAAATTGATTAGAGTTCAAGAAATAACTTTTCTGTTCCTAGGAATCTTCATTCACCCTAATTGCCAGGACAACTCGTTCTTCGCGAAGTGTGACCTGATCGTGAAAGCAAGATACTGTACGCACAAATACTATGCGAAGTTCTGCTGCCGATCCTGTACCGAAGCCGGCCAGCTTCCTTCCAGAGGGCCTCACCTGAACACATCGAGAAGGAGGCGAAGGTACATTCTGAAGAATCTCGTCTAAGAAAGTTTCGTTTGCTTCCTGCGAGCCCGATGAACAAAGCAGAGCAATTACGATAAGGTCTCTCTTGCATAGTTCAATTAGTATTGTTAATAAAATTTGACAAGTCACAAGTTTTCAGCACTGATGAATTTTGAGAAGAAAAAAAGAAATAAATTTCTCAAATTATGAGACTACTAATTATCCTACTTGGATGAAATATGGAATAGAAAAATTATTAAGAATTCCAGGACATGATGTAGTGAAATTATTAAAAATTCTACGACATAGGATTATAAAATTACTAAAGATTCGATGGCACAGGATAGTAAAATTATTAAAAATTCTAGGATGTAGGATCGTAAAACTTCGAAAGAAAAATTTACAATCTATAAATTGTACCTTGTCAAATTCACTATTATCATGCAAAAGAGACGTCTGAAAAAAAGAAGACTCGGCTCTCAAATGTATCGTTACTAAAGAAACGAAGGAGGACGACGACGAGGCCGCGTGGTCATTCGATCCGATTCGAGGACACAAAACTCCTCTGTCTCGAACACGTGCCGCATAAACGTGACGTTAATTCACTGCCAAAGCCTTAGAACGTCTATACATAGATACTTTTAATATATAATTAAGCAACAGCGAGACGGAAGAGCGCGAGAACGAAAGAGTTGCACAACGAGACATAAAATGATCTTATCGTTGCTGTTTCTTCTTTTCCTTTAATTCTGTTTCAACGTCGTCGTTCGTCGTTGTTCGTTTTATGTATGTATATACGATCTGATGCTGGAATCCTAGTCGGTCGAAGCCATATCAAGATAGGAATGATCGCTGTCCTCCGGGGAACGAGAGAAAGCGCATCTCGATCGATTAATCGATCGATAACATTTGCTCTTCTTTTCATTTTACTTTCCGTTTAACTCGCGTTCCAGTCGTTGGCCATCTCAGAATATAATCTGGAATCATGCGATGAAATACAGAAATTGAAAGCCGAAATAGCTAGTGAAGATATAGTCGAGGAAAAATAATTTAGCAATTTATGAGTAAACCTAGGTTCTAAACGATCTTTTTTTTGAATATTCAACTCTTGCAAAATTATTTTTCTCTAACATAAACAATTCGACAATTTATCAAATATTCTAAAATTCTCTCTTTGTTTTATCATTTAATGTATTCTAAGTTAAGAAATAAAAGGATTCAAAATTCTAAAAAAACTCCATTACATATCTTAATTCTAGATTTAAAACAAAAATCATACGTTTGCGATAATAACGTATTCTGTTAAATTTTAACAAAAATTTAAGCTCTTGAGGATAGAATAAAAGATATTCGCAAGGTTCCAAGGAAGTCGTCACGATGAATCCATACGACAACGCGATGTATCGATCAATCTGATTCTGTAAGTGAAAGAGCTTCGTAAAATAGACATGTCAGGGGAACAAAGGAAATGTCGCGAAAGAACGAGTTAAGATCGCTATATCTTTTTTTCTTTTTTTAAGCGGATAGATCGCATTAAGCGATCGCATAAAATGAAAAGAAAAGAAGAAATAGGGAATTTGGGGGAGGGGGAACTTGTACCTATTTGTATGAAGCATACAAATATACGCACGTTACGTTGTAAAATATAAATAGTTTATTACGCAGTACACCATTTATATACTCTATGATACTGTTACTACTTATATCCCTTATCGATATTCCAATATATTGCCATAACACAAAACAATCCTCTGTCAATGAACAACATTTTACGATTATCATAGCGACGATTAAGGATGGCGAAGGTGCAACATCGTGACGACAATATGCTGGCTCGTAAAATGAGTAAGAATGGGAAGAATTGGTAAAAAGGAAAGGAAAATTGACTCTTTGCTAATGTTTTCGTTTCAATTATTTTAAGTTTTGCGCTTTTACGTAGTTTCGTTCTGAAAAGTTGTATAATAGATTAATAAACATATCGATAAAATTGGAAAGGTTTTGGTGGTTAAAATTTTATTTGCAAAGCTCGTTAAAAAGAGGATCGAACAATTAAGTCGTTAGAGGTTAATAACAATTTACAAGCATTTATCAGTAATTCAATCACGATACGCACCTTCTTTCACCATATTAACGTGTTGCATTTATATATTTGTTCCTGAACATTTTAATCGTAATGTTAACTACACACTGTTACTATGTATAGCGTATCATCTATCGTGAAGCCTCGATGTTTGAGAATAAGAGCATAAGTTTGTCAATTCCGAACTTATCAAAAAGTAGCGTGAAACTCTTATATAAAATTATTTCCTTTTCTTACACGATATTATATTCTAACAAGTTAGAAACGACATATTTCTTCTTGGTAAAGCTGATACCAATTTTGATATACTGTCTCTTCTTCACAAAAATATAGGAAAAATGTATTTCTATTACTGATTGACAAAAAAGAAGTTCAGGAAGGTTCAATCAACAAAGGGTTAATTTCAATATAGAGTGGGAGAAGGTTACATATCATTGGAAAATTGTATGCGTAATTCGTTCCAACATCGGTAAAAGATAATTTATGCTTTTAATCTTGAAGTGTCGCAAAAATATCAGTAGCTTGTAGCGTATCAAAATTCTGAAGGAAGGTACCAAAAGCATTTATAATTATATATAAATATTATAGATATATTGTAAGCGTAAGTTTTACTCGATAATGGAAAGAATCCACGGAACTGTAGGAAAAAAAGGATATTCTTCTTTCGTCTGATCGTTTCAGTCACAGTAAATGACAGTGCCTTATTAGAAGCCCTTCGAAAGTGTCGAGGAAGGAGTGCTAAATAGAACTTTACATACAGATTACCGTTAGTGTAAATACAAAAGTAGTAGTATACGCGAAGCAGAACGAATTGTCTGAAGATTTTCAATCGCAGAAATTTACTGATAGTCATTAAAAAGAAAAAGATATTAGACGATCGTACCAAAGTGTGAAAAAGCTATTCCTCCAATTTTTTACGTTTCCTTATCGAATAAAATATATATATGTATATATATATGTGTGTATATATATATATATGTATATATATATATATATATATATATATATTCGTATATTATTTCCTAATTACGTATCAAACGTATGAAGACCACAAGTGGAAATATGACTCAAGTCACATTTTTTTTAGCAAGTCTTCTATAGAAGAGCAATTTCAAAATTCGATGTTATTGTATATTCGATATTATATTAATGAAGTTAGAGCAACATAATTGTTCGTTTCGTACAAAATATTATAGATTTATCATTTATCACAAGATGCCCTTTTTGAACTATTTCATATTAAAATAGACGTAAAAAATGTATAACAAACATATTAAAATTTTATATTAAAATACGTGTAACAAAATAATGAGAAAATCAACAAAAATGAACTTGTCATATTTTTCTCATGTGTGGTCTTTATGTACAGTAGAATCTAGATAAAATTTGGAAATTGTGACAATCACAGTATTGCTTTAAAAGAAATGAAGCATGTAAACCTTTATTATCGTTTTCTTCATTTACCCGGAGGAATCGTAGCAAGAAAGGAAAGAAACAAGGAATAATGGAAAGATATTGAGTACTCTTCTCCTCCGTAATCCTTTAGATATGACCAAACTGGACATGACACGATTGTAGTAACGTAGCAACACGACATTATTTAGTAAATGTATAAATAGCATAAATTCTCCTAGTTTACATAGATATATCCTACTGATTGCATATCGGTAACAAGCAAAAAATACAAAAAAAAAGAAGACTAAAGAAAATGTAGCGTAGAAAAGAATGTATCGTGTTTATTACAAGAAGTGATAACGCAAGGAAAGAACAAAAGGTACATAACGTCAAGCAAGTTGTTTCGGTAGATTTTCTCTATTCTATAGTAAATAATTTATATTTGTACCGTGTGATTTTAAAGTCTATACAATGGCAACATATTCACTTACACGTTATACACTGGACATGTATATAATTATCCCTGTATTACGTACTGTACTCGTTTAATCAACCTATCTTACAGACCGCTGGACAATTCCTTATGGAAACTTTGTAAAATTCGTAGAAACGATCGTGACCGGTTGATTCGTCGATTTCCAATCAATTTTCCAAATATCAATGCGTTTTCTTTTTGTAACACAAAGGTAGTGTAATAATGATAATTAACATATAGTGATGTTTAGAATGGCTATGATAGTTACAATGATATATTATAATTGTATACGCAAATAATTAAGGATTTAAGATAATATAATAGAACTATTGATTCGTGTAATGAATAATTTCAGTCAGTTATTTAGAACTTGAATTTTGTGAATTTAATCGTTTTGGAAAATATAAGTGAAAATAGGATCTTTCTATACGAGTAATTTTGAAATTCATTTCACTTCTTTTTCTACGTGTTTTACAGTTTTGAGAAACGCATTTAATTTCTGTAGATTAAAGTTAAACAAAAATATGCAATGGAACGTACCTCGCGTAGAATCAACAGAAGTCTTTTCAAAAAATTTTGTTTTAATATTCTTATATAAACTAAAGAGAGTGAAGAAAACTCTTAACGAGTCAGCTACGATTTACGATTGTTGCTACGAATACACCGACGAAGGATTTAAGCGTAAGTTACATGAGAAAAATACGAGGAAACGAGAAAATTCGCCAAAAAAGAGAAAAATGAAAGACGTGAAAGAAAGATTAGATTAATCATACAAATTCGTGTTTCTAATGTATCATCACACACATCGCGACAGTGCTAAAGATTTTAGTGATTTTAGTACTTGTAAGTTATACCGTAGGTAACGATTAATATAATATAAATATATATAATTATATATATAAAATAAAGGTAGAAATGAAGGAATGCCACTATACAAACATTGTATGGACAATAATAATATATAAGATCCTTAAATATATGATTAAACGATTAGCATGATTATTTTTCTTATCGAGGAACTTTGTTGCTATCAGCGACTTCTTGATGAGGATTATTCTTTCTCGTAATTAATAGGTATGTGAATTTTTCTAACAATATTTTGTTGCATTTAAATCTTTATATCACATTGTTTATTTAATAATTACAAGAATTATTAACATAATTACTATATTAACATTTATTATTATTGAGTATAATATTACGTATTATTCGAACTATTCTCTTTTTAGTAACGTCCTACAGTTTTTCTATCAGCTTGAACAGAACTTCGCTTAAGATGACGTTTATGGTGTTCTTCAATGATCATAGCTCTCTCGATCCTCTCGGTCGCGAGTCTCTCGATCTTCGCGAATAATTCCGTGTGCACGGAGATGCACTTTCGAAAATCTTTGCGATCCAAACGGTACACCTCGCACACTTCAATCGCGATCACGCTTGCGACTCTTCTTTGTTCACCAACTAGAAGCGCTACTTCTCCAAAATGGGCTCCGTCGTCCAGGTGACAGATCTAAAAAAAAAAAAGAAAAAAAAGGAAAGAAATTAGCTTCGTGAATGATGAAAATAACGAATACTCATTACTGCCTTAAGAAAATTGAATCTTAAGAAACGAAAGTGAGAAACGAGTTGAAAGAGAATTGTGTCTCACATCGAATACCTTTTTTGCAAAAAAAATCTCTCTATATCGATTTTTGTACTCATTTTATAATTAATGCGAAATTTCTTCAAATAATCAAAAGTAATTACAAAAATATATCAGTAACAAGCATTTTATCCTAATCTCAATTAATATGTGAGAAAACTATAATATGCCTATTAGCTCACAATCAGTGTCCTTATAAAGACATCATATAATTTTAACTATGCTCCATAATATTGATCATTACATTCATTCGTTAATTGCCATAGAATTTATTCATCTTATAAAAAGGTAGTCACAGAAATCAACAACAAATTACCGCAATAATCACTTCAGTTGAATGCAAAGTAGCTTGAAAGATAGCAGGAAACATACACTTTAGAATGCTTTTTGTTTTGAGTCGATATCTCAAGCGGTTCCGGAGATACAGCGATTTAAAGCGACGCGTACGAATTTGTGCGAAAAGATAGATGACCGAAATTCCCGGAAACAACGTGACCTAGTTATTGCACGTGCTTACGCGCGTAGTACGGTGCACGTTCCTAATTAGCGCGCATGAGCATGTGTGCAGTAGGTTAGGAAAGCCGCGTGCGACAGAGAGATCCGAGAGTGCGAGAAGGACAGCGATAGCGAAATGCTGCAAGTTATCATTCATTTTAAACTGACGTATCCTAAAGACGAAAAGTCGTAGGACCTTAAATCATAAAGCATTTTAAAAGGAAGGGTTCGATCTTTCTGGTGTGTTAAATTTAAGTAAAATCTGGATCGGGCAAGTACCTTTATGAAAAATGAAATGTAACGTATACAAAATGGAGTTTAATGGTACTTGAACAATGAATGGTACAACAAAATTGAAAGAAAATGATTTTGTTTGATATTTTCTTGTTGATATGTGTATAATTACATTTATAGGGTAGGAGAAAATTGTAGGTATGAAGAGGAAGGATATTCATGAACGGAATTTGGTTTTGAAACTAGGGAAAGTATTTCGGGAGAAATGGAATCTAATGGTATCAGTTCGATAATAAAATTGCAAATAAATGTTTTTTAATATGTTCTTATTAATTTGTGTATAATCATATTAGCATGTATAAACACGTTTAGGGATTAGAGATATAAATAGAGAGGAAAATTAATATATGACACGTTAAATCAATAATGTAATTTAAAAGTTTAAGTTAGATTTAATGGAAATTTTAAATTTTTCTTTGGTTAGAAATGTTAAGGATACACATACCTCTTTGCCAGTGGGTGTTAGTACAGCGACAGTCCCAGCAGATAAAAAGAACATACAATCGCCATAAGCTCCTGCTTTGATGATCACGTCGTTCGGTAGATAAAGCTCGAATTTCAAATTCTTTATGATGGATCGTAAAACGTATTTGGGTAAGTCTTTGAATATTGTTACATTTTCGACTAAACGATGGCTCGATTGAAGCGCAATCTCTTGACGTAATTGTTCTAGATTACAACGATTTATTAATTAATTATAAATCTTAATCAAGAAACGAATGAAATAGTAAATTATATTTGGTTACCTGATAAATTAGATAAGATAGACTTTTCGCGAAAGTAACTATTCCTAAAACGATAATAGTAATAAGCCAGAAGACGAATCTTCATATGCTTTGGTAATTGCTTTTGACTCGTGTAAGCGCATAACTGATTTATTATTTCTTGAAATTTCGATTCCGATGCTTGTTTTCCTGCTTTTATTTGAATCAGCATCACTAAAATGAGATTCATATACTATTAGAGATTGAAAATATATGCGTCTACGTGATTCTTTAGAAAATATCTTGCCTGCAATGTAACATTCGAGCACTCTACCAATGAGTATAAGAACAAAGCTCAGTACAATGTGACCGCTTGTTCTTGGCACGAAACCACCGTAACCACTCGCTGCTAATTTCTCCACGACGATAAAGAGTGTATATTGAAACCTGGAAGGTATGCTGCTGCTGTCTAACCCTGTCATCCAACATTCAGGACATTCCTGTATAACGTTTATTAAATTATATTACTATAAATTTTCTATCTACATTTCTGCAATTTTTAGAGGCTATCATTAGTGAAATTTCATCTCACGCGAATTGTGTTTTAATATTATCGTTTTGTAATAATATTTATTTGTTGCAATTTTATTATTTACAATCACTAGAAACAATTATTTCTCTACTCTTCATATTGAATAAAAGTGAAATATTTAATACCTCTTGTTTAACTTCATTAATCTTTTTAATTTAAAAAAAGATGCAATGCTATGAACTTTCACTCATGAACATAATATATTATTAAACATTATTTATTAATTAGATTTTGAAATCTAAGAATAGGTACTAGTATATATTTTTCATCCCTTACTTCTGGTAAAGAGTTACTGAAGTGCAAAACTAACACTGGTATCAAGTAATACAGACACGAAGACCAGTACATTATGTAAAATCCCAGCATGAAGGTGGAAAATAGTTCGTAATAAAAGTGCATCACTTCGAAATGCTAAAATGCCGAATAAAGATATCCGTAACAATGATGTACGCGCGCAGTTAAAATTATTTATAAATTTTTAAAATTTCCTTTAAATTTAAAAAAGGGAGATTACGCTAAAAAGCTCGGAGATTCGCATATTAACGTAGCCATAACGCAACAGCTTCAAACAAGGTAAGAGATTGAGTAGAGAAACTAAATGATTAGATTCTCTTCCAGGAAGACTTCGCCATGGCAAAGTTATGTGATCCCATGGCAATGAAGAAAGGATATCCATTATAAGAAAGGTTTTTAAATAGTTCCTATGAGAATAAATCATGTTATTTGTACTCTTAAATCAATCAACTTTCATACTAGATATTTCTTAATATCACATGATATTTAAATCAATTAAAATTTAAATGAATACAAAATATTCTATATGCAAATTTTGCATTCTAAAAAGATATATATAAAGAAAGTACATGAATATCTTGAAGGGAGCCAATTCCACCTGCATGAGTTTCTTGTCGTAATATCCAGTGAAGCAATTGCATACTATATCCATCCAGCAGAAAGCGTAGATTAAAAAATTGAATTTATCCATTCGAATTCTATCGTGACTCATGACAATAAAACTGACGGAAAATGGGATCGTCAGAAAGCCAACCATATATACCACTGTCATTACCAAGTCCCATAGAAACCTAAAAAATTTCTTTAGTGCAAGCTGTATCTGTTTAACCGTTTTTTAAAAATATTTTTTATTTTTTCGTTTATGACCTTAATTTCATAGGTACCTCCAACTACTGCAAGGATGAATAATCCACCAATGTATCAAAGCATGCCTTCTTCTCTCGGCACACACGTGCGCCATACTGTCGAAAAATATTTTCGCCCTCGGTGTTTTCCCATTGATTTGGAACATGTTTATCCATATATTTTTACACGTGATGTCCTCATCTGAACCGAACATGTAGTATTTGTCACTATTTTTTAAGGCACAGATATGGGGCTTCACGCCGGAATCCATGCTTTTCTCTTGCTACAAATTGTTTAATTAGTTGTAATATAGCAATTTGAAACTTGAAACTTAAAATGTGATATTTGAAATCTGGAATTGTAACATTAAATCTTGAACTTCTAGTCGGAAGTTTTGAACGCTAAATTTGGAACTTCGCCCTTGAATCTTGAGCTTTTAACCCCAAACTTTAAACTTCGAACTCTGAAGTATGAACTGTAAACTTTAAACTTTAATTTTGATTATTTTCACACAGTTCGAGTACACCGCGAATATAATTTAGCGTAAAATAATTTCCATATTGACTTATTTCTATCATAACCCAGCTTTTCCTCGATTGTGGATTAAAATTCATAACCTGAAGGGTTTCCACGATTTTCAAATTCTGATCCGAAGTTTGCAAATTTTGAATCGATGTAAGTGAAAACAGGCAGGGAAGAAATGAACGTGAGAAAGAAAATAATGAACTGTCATTTATTAAAAAACTCTCGACGATAAAAAATATACCCAATCATATACCGTCTTAGAATACGACGAGCGCCTATGAACTAAGGTACATGTATACAAATGAGTGCACATTATCGTTTACTCTGTGCAGCGATGTTCCTATGAGGATCGATCGTGGTTTTGTCGCTATTTTTGTTAAACGATACGTAACTGCTTTTGTGCGTGTGTTGATCACTCAGATCAATCATCGATAATTGACGAAAACAGAACGCGTCGTTGGGAAGAAAAGAAGCATTGATATGGTATGGTACCGGCAACTGTAAGTTCGAATGTAAGAAACAATAAAACATAAAATATTTTGGAATTCGTTTTAACCCTCCAGTCAGTTTGCTTGCTATGTTTAATGCACTTTCATTTTTGAGCATCATTTTTTCTGGCAAATATTTTTATACGTATGTGTGTTACTCTGAAGCCAGAATAATCAAATTCATCGAAATAAGTTTTATTTGGTTTCTGGCTTACTTTGGTTTGAAACGAAAAATATGCTATTTTTAAATTTATTGTATATATATTAATTATATTGTATATATATTTAATTATTATAATTATGATTATTAAAAGTAAACTGTTGTCCTTTTATCCATGTTTCTATTCTTTGTGCATGCTGTGAAAATTTTGATAAATTTATGACCCTATATTCTGAAACTAAATATTTACGAAGTAGCGTTGAATAATCTGGCTTCACTTGTAAAATGTTAGAACATGCTTCAATGAAATATTTGTAATATTTAAAATGAAAAATTATTTGTCTTATGTTTTATATCTCTAGATACTTAAACCATCTAAACAGATATCTAGACTATCGAAATATTCAAATCTTCGAAAATCTAAATTTTTCCTGTTGGCCATAGAGACTGATCGAAATTAATGTTTAAAAATGCCCTCTAAAATCTCAGTATCTTTAGTAATATCTTAAACATCTAAAATACAAGATACTTAGGAACCACCCTGCAGTTACTTGAAATATTCACAATATATCATTTTTTAGTCTTCAAAAATTTCGTTTCACGTTTAAACTAAACTAAACATGAATGCTTTTAATCAACAACAAATAAGCGACTATTTATCATATACTTTTACAAAATTCACGATCGCTTACACAAATACTACATAATTACAAAATTAAACAGACAAACGTAGATACTATAATAAATGAATTATAAAAATACTAAAATTACATATTTTACAATTCTTAACTTTTTAACTTTTGGAGGGTTAAAACAGGCGCCTAGAGATATTTGTGTTAAAAAGATAACAACTAGTCAGTTAATTCAACTATCAGTCTTCCCGGTTATTCCTGTTTGTCGGTTGATATATTCTCTAATCTTAGGTTTAAAAAATACGACGCTGAGATGTATGTATGTTTCTTTCGCATCGCAAGTATGATAAAATTGTTATTCAAGTTCAAGTTACAATTCTCGAAAATTGTACAATCACAATTTTCGTAGCTACAAAATTAAGCTACTTCCTAGGATCGACTTTTTCTTTTCGTCGATTGACGATTTATGTGAAATTTTCACATTTTCCAGCTTTTACGTTTATTAGTACAAACATCGAGTCGTATATATGTATTTAACAATCATGCTAACGAGGCCTGGATATTGTTCTGTTTACGTTTTATATATTCAGTATACATACAAATTACCGAGATCAAAACGGCGATCTCTACTTCTTCAACTTTCATCAAACAAATTATTTTCTCTTTTACGAGGATCGTTTTGTCCGTAAAACATTTTTGAAGGATATCAAAATCTAGGCAAATGCTTCTGTCATAATTTATGTAAATCATATACGTACACTTTGAGAACAGATTTTTGTAAAATGTAAAAGATTTTATTAACATGCAACATAGGTAGTGAAATTCCTAAAAAATTTTAATTTGAAAATTTATTCGAAGAAACCCAACTTATCTTCGGAACAAAGCAATCCTCTAAGCAACAATTTCTAATACCAATGCAACCTTCATGACTAATCTACAATCTTCAATAATTTCAATAATCGTTCAATACATATGACACAGCATAAACACCGAATACGAATTCGAATTCTTAAATTTTCTAGAGAATTTGAAACTCTCTCGGAATTCACCGGGAGAAAATGGTCCGTGGTACGATATGAAACGTACGAAACCGTTACAAACCGTTACAAAATCGTCTACAAACGATCAAACATTCTCTGAACGTCCTTCTTCTTACGACTATTCGTAATGTTACAACATGAGCCAAGTACAATTCAATAGTTCAATTCTAAAGTCACCTCCACAGAACAAACTCCACTGGCTGTCTTCAAAATACGTCTTCAAAAATCGATAACGAGTCCTTGAACGTTATAACGTTATAAGGTAGATCTTATAAGAACACAATTTCGAACATCGGTCCAATTTGAATCAACTTGAAAATCTCCATTGTGAACTATACCAATGAAATTATTTCCAATGTCATTGTTTCCTTCACGGATTTTTAAATCCATTTGGTTATATTAATTTTCGAGTCGATCTTTTACACGTCGATACCAAGTAGTTCTCTGCTGTCAGCTCTCGATAATCGACGACGTAAACTGCGACGACGGAACTCCTTCCATCAGACGGATGCACGTTTCACGCGAAGGCTCGAGATTGAAGGAGGCCTGTAGCCTTGGTAACCTTGGTCCAGAAGCTCAGAATTCGGTGGTCCTAGACACGTGCACGAGCACACGCTCACGCAGTCATCCGTGTCGTGAACTATAGGCACGTGACCAGCTAATAGTTTTCCATTTACAGCGACCACCTCACCGTCTAGTGTTAACACGTGATGAGAAGCTGGTTGAAGCTCTTCGTCGCGGCGAGCGTCACCCGTGTTCCTATTTAACAATTAAGAAAGATTAGAAATTTCAGAATTTTTCAGGGCTTCAAAATTCAAGATTCAAAATTTCAAGTCATACGACTTGAGAACATACAATCGGTCGCAATACTTTGATATTTCTTTGATATCTAGGGATAGGGATAGGACTCTCTTATTAAGTGTAATGTTATAAATATAACTGGAGAATTCTTTTCAATCTTTGGAAGTTTTTAATAAAAAAAATTTGGCTGTGAATAATTGAAATTTTGTTAAAAGAAACCCTCTTTATTTTTTGATCATTGAAGAAGTGAAATAAGTGGAAATGTGCTCAAAGATATCACATAAATTTTTGAAGAGTAATATCTTGGACGTGACCTACATTTGCTGCGTGGCCTGAGAAGACAGAATGGCGATAAGTAAAAGGGGACAAGTGAGATATATGTGCACGCTTTGGGGTGAGGGAATATGTACTTACATCGTCATAAAGCGGAGGACGAGTAAGTTTATGCTGGCAGCGACGACGGCCAGGCCGAATAGTATAAAGACTAAGCTTAAGGCCACGTATCCAGGTTTATTGGAAAGTGCGTGATCATTCTGCAACGTTTTCATCACAAACAAATATTACAAAAAGTCTTTTGCTAAATTTAAATATTAAGATAAAGCGAATTGAAGAAGAAATACTCTCCTATCAACAAAAATGAATTGAGAAACTAATAATAACGAAGCAATAAAATTCAAGCAACAAAAAAGTTCTTGCTAAAAATTAAAATTCGATAAAATATCAGGGTTATTAATACGAATTGACAAAGGTTTGATAGGATTTCGATGAAATATTGAATTTATCGTTAGACGAATTTACCTGTAAGGCGACGTAATCACCAAAACCGATGGTAGTCAGTGTGACAAAACAGTAGTAGAAGCTGTCGAAGTAGCTCCATCCCTCGTAACGCGAGAACACAGCAGCTCCAGTCGTGATAATTATGCTCGAAAGTAAACCAGTCGCGAGCATTAGATTAATCTCGGTTGCTTCTGTTTTCTGGCATCTTAAATACGTCTTTGCTCGTTTGATGACTACAGAGGCGAACTTGTTCAGACGTTCACCGATACTCTGGAACATTATCAGACCGAGAGGAATGCCTACCATGGCGTATGCCATGCAGAATGCTTTTCCTCCTATGGTGACTGGCGTTGAGTGTCCGTACCCTTGAAATTTTATAGAATAAATTAAAATAAAATCTTATGATGATTAAGAATATAAATATGTCGGAGATGAAAGGACATCGAAGCCTCCCCTTTGGAACTTCGGGATAACCCCCCCCCCAACACTGTAATCTAGAGTCCACTATAGCTGTAATTAAACAATCGTAGTTATTCAATCCGATTGTAATTGTTCGAGATTAGTGGCAGTGAGCTTTGGCTCGAGGCGACAGTCTGTCGCCCAACGTAGCCGTGGTTAAGGGATGAAAGCTTTGTCTAACAAAGGCATGGAGTAATTCTATAGGTCTCTTTAAAAAAAGGAAATAGCTGCAACGGGCAATGAGGCGCGATATCCCTTCTTATGGCATTTAAAGCACGATGCTTTTGGCGATGCGGCCGGTCGGCTTTCCTCCGGGCGTCGGGAGTTCTTCCTCGGTTCCAACTTCATCCTTGTCACGTAAACTTAGGGGTGGGTTGATGAAAATAAAATAGCTGAGTCGTAACACAACTATTGTCTTTATTTTCTAGCACAGTACAAGTTTACACCGATCGGAGAGATGTTCATTGTTCGATGGTTTTTGTCTATTTCTTCCCAGGTGTTTTCGTCTCATTACGGAGGAAAGCTCGGTGTGGGTGCGTCCTTTTTAATTAACAACGCGGATTCGCTATTCGCACCTTCCGTTAGGAAAAGTGAGGGTAACGATCCACGATGCCAATTGGTTATGTTAATAAATGAAGATAGGAGGAGAAAGCCTCCTACCAACGCGGCTAGTAGGTAATATTGTTTATGGCAAAAAACAGCTTTTTCGTTAGTCGAGTATTGGGTTTTTCCCATTAAGTAACTACCTGCTTTCCCCGTAATTAGTAAGGACGTGTAACAACCTAAGGGCTGTTTCAAGGACCATCCATAAACAGATAACAGAAATAAACTTAAAAAGTTTAGGTTTATGGTGGGTCCCTGGGGTAATTGAGGGTACGCGGTGAAAACCTGCACACATCCTGCCTCTAATATGAATTGACGTTACATCCTCTTGCGGCATTCAGATATCGTATGTCCGTAACTATTGCAGTGGCGGCACTTGTTCCGGGGGGCGGATGACCTGCTTCGTTTATTTCCGGAGCCCGATGATGGCCTCCGTGACGTAGACGTCCGCCTCTCCTCGTAGAGGAAAAGCTGCATCTCTCTTCGGAATTGTTTCACCGATTTAATATCACGCGTGAGTGCTAGTCGTTCAAAGCGTCGATCGCGCGAGCCCATTAGATAGAGAACGGTGGCGGTGACTACTTCCTCCATTGTTGAATTTCGCCACTTCGAATACAGGAGGGAAACAAGACGGTTTCCGTATGCCCCTAATGTTTCGTTCTCCCGCTGTAGTTCCTTGGATACCTTGATTAGCAACGAGGCTGCTGTTTCTTGGCCAACGAAGTGCGCGATGAATTGTTCCTTAAAAGTTGGCCATGTGACCTCTTCGCTATCCATTATTTGCATAAGCCAATGCGCTGCCGGGCCTTCTAGGGCACGGTTCAAAGCAGAATATAGCGCGCTGTTTTTCAGAGGGTTGTCTTTCATAAGCAGACTAACGGCTGAGCACCAGGCGACTGGATCTGCGTCCGCGGCTTCGGGGTTAAAACGCGGTAACGATATCCTTGTTACCCTGTTCTCCTTCTTTGTTAGCGACCGGATTAGTTCACGCACGATGCTCTTATGATCCCGCATCGACAACATATGTTCGGATCCCACTTCTGATGTCGAGTCACGATCCGAGTCCGGGCTCGTTTCGCTATCACGGTGAGGGCTTGGGATAGGTAATGATTCTTTACTGAAGCTATCCATCTTCTTACACCACGGAAGTGACTTTTATTGGCACAAACAAGGAGGTTACAAAGTTGACGCAAACTCACGGCGGTCACACACTCGCGACACTAGTGACAATGGTCTTAGGTTCGCTAACGAATACGCGGTCAACGGAATGGTAGGTGTACGTACTCTAAGTCGGATTCTTTGGTGATATTCACTGACCGTAAGGTGTAAACCTTTTCGTCGATGAGGTCGCAAGCGAGAGAGTGAGTTTCCGTTCCGATGATGCCACAGAGGAAAACTATGATGGGGTGTGTCTAAGGACACGAGACCATCCGATTCGTGTTCGTTCAGAGAGAAAGGGAAATTGGCGTTGCTGCTAATTGGTCAATCTCCATATCGGTGGTTAGAAAAAGATGCTAGCTGCCCTCGAAGGAAAGTTGCTAGTGGGAGACGCCGTTCGTTGAAAAAGATAGGTCCCCCCTATCTTCCCGTAGTTGAGACAAAGACTGTTTGTCTGTTTGAAGAACTTTAGTCAACTAAATCTTAAGATTTATAACGGGCCCTCAGGCTAGCTGAACATGTACTGCGGAGACGCATCGACATCTGGCAATCATCTTACTCGAAGAATAGGGTCTGCGTGAGGCGAGTCACGGGACAGAAACCGTTGGGATGTTTATTATCGCGTGCCGCCACAAATATTTCTTTTAAGGGGGGAGGGGGGGTAAGGTTTTAAAATTTTCTTTTTGCATTTTTTTTATTTTTTAATTGAATGCATAACATCTTAAGAATATTGTGTCAAAATTTCAAGTTGATTGGAGCAAAATTGACGAAGTTAGGAGTATTTTTATACATGTCGGATGATATTACCTACCCGACCCGAGCGTGCTATTGTTACTTCGCAGATGTTTTTTTCTCTATATAATACCTAATCTTACCCCCAGATCTATTTGTAGTACTTAACGACTTAAGTACAAACCTCCTTATACCTGTACTGTATATTTTGTCAGTGTAGAGTAAAAAATTTAGTGTAGGAGTAAATATTCCATTTTCATTAAGTTTTGTGTCAAATTATTACTAAAATGTCTAAAAAAGTTACTAGATCTGATAGACAATCAACTGGTTCGAGACCTAGAAAAATTGTACCTCCGCATAAACGTAAATACGAACTTCACGGCACTTCAACAAATAACGCGTCAGCTAAAAAAATAAAAGTGACTGTTAAAGATCAAGTTACGAAGGATCGTGAAAAATATTATAGTATAATTGATTTTTTATTAGTCTTTTCAACAATTGCCACGCTAGTGAAGAGGTAGATCGATAAAATTCACTTATGAACGTTTTATACCAGATTTTTTAGTGTTCCAAACTTTAAAGCGTTTTCCCCACAACTCACGTTTTCAAAGTCGGTGCCCCCGATTACTTCAGAACTACTGCACCAATCCTTTTGAAATTTTGAAGACTATTTCTGTACATAATTTGCGAGGTAACACTGTAGAGTTTTTTCAAATTTGTTAATTATTTTTATTTTAAAATAACAAATTAGCCGCAAATTTTCGCACAAAATCGCGTTTTTCCCTTCAAAGTGTTCCAAAAAAGTGAGAAATTGAAATTTTGAAAAAATCTTCGCAGCGTTACATGGGGAAAACTGTTACCTAACGAATGAATTTTAACTTTTTGATTTCTGATGATCCAGCACCAAGTTCTGAGGGGCACCGCAATTATACTTTTTTCCGAGACACGTCCGAATAATTGCTGCCATCGCCTTATTTTTTAATATTTCTCCGTGAAAATTTTATACAATATTCTTCGAATGTCATACTTTAATGTACTATTGGTTTTAAAAAAGAAATTTTCCGAACCCTCAATTACCCCAGGGACCCACCATAAACCTAAACATTTTAAGTTTATTATTTCTATTATCTGTTTATGGATGGTCCTTGAAACAGCCCTTAGGTTGTTACACGTCCTTACTAATTACGGGGAAAGCAGGTAGTTACTTAATGGGAAAAACCCAATACTCGACTAACGAAAAAGCTGTTTTTTGCCATAAACAATATTACCTACTAGCCGCGTTGGTAGGAGGCCATAAACAATATTACCTACTAGCCGCTTTCTCCTCCTATCTTCATTTATTAACATAACCAATTGGCATCGTGGATCGTTACCCTCACTTTTCCTAACGGAAGGTGCGAACAGCGAATCCGCGTTGTTAATTAAAAAGGACGCACCCACACCGAGCTTTCCTCCGTAATGAAACGAGAACACCTGAGGAGAAATAGACAAAACTACCGAACAGTGAACATCTCTCCGATCTGTGTAAACCTGTGCTGTGAACTAAAGACGATAGTTGTGTTACGACTCAGCTATTTTTTTATTTTCGTCAACTAACTCCTAAGTTTACGTGACAACCGCGGCTACGTTGGGCGACAGACTGTCGCCTCGAGCCAAAGCTCACTGTCACTAATCTCGAACAATTACAATCGGATTAAATAACTACGATTGTTTAATTACAGTTATAGTGGACTGTAGATTACAGTGTTAGGGGGGGGGGGGTTATCCCGAAGTTCCAAAGGGGAGGCTTCGATGTCCTTTCATCTTCGACAAATATAAAAACTCTTAATATGAAAGTTTCTGATATAAATAATGCAGAATATGTCAAATTAATTTATCTAGAGTAATACAAATATAGAATAATAATAAATGTAGAATAGAATAATGCTCTATCAGCTAAAAGCTTAGGATTATTATGTGTCATATAGAATATAGAAATTTATTATGTATTTTATAAATACATACACATTAAAGATTCCAAGGTTGTAACTTGATATCGATTATCTACGATACATATTTAACTTCTACTGCACAATAATAATAATAAACATTCTAAACACGTAGCAAACACGCTTGAGGGTATCACTCACCTATCATAGCAAGCACAAGAGTCGCGAAATAAAAGGCACCAGCGAATTTCCATTGAGGGCCTGCTTTGTGTGGCTTATTTTCTATTATAACAATCTCCAACATTATGTAATCTTCCTGCGTGATGTTGTACTTCTTGATCATGTTTCGACGAACCTCTAAAATCATTAACATAACCACAATTTTCGATAGTATTATTATTATTATTATTAATGCATATATTCTACTATTCTTGGCTACATATTTTTCTGTTAATTGAGAATTAAAATTTGCAGGTATGAGAATAGCTACCCCAAATTTACCCTTCCTTGCTATTTTTCATCCCTAACTCTTAATATTATATTTAATCACATACTTAAATATTCACAAGCGGAAAATGCTACTAATTATTATATAAATATTCATCTATGAAAATATCAGCGCTGAATATTATACTGTGCATCCTATCTCTCTATTTTCAACCCTCAACGTTATACGTTTACCTTAATCCCACGTCACATAATCGACACGTGAAAATATCAACCCCGACGCAGCTGATATGTGCGTGTGTATTTATACTACCCCTCTATATATACTACCGGCCTTATCGCTCGCCATCAGTGTTCTATATATTGTTCATTTGCCTATTCATTTCCTACCAATCTCTTACTCTAAGCATTTCTCACATTCACATACGTGAACAGCGAAACAAAACTCGTCCAATAGAAACTTTCAATTTTATATATTCTACCTCTTTCTCCATACTTTCACTATCAATTCACATCACGAACGATCCATATATAACACACATTCTGTCTTCCACAGATATATCTACCAATCGCGTACTCAAATATTTACACGTGAAAATAAGCAAACAAAGTTTATCCAATAGAATTTTCAAATTCTATATATTCTGCCTCCACCCTTCCTCTATATACATTTTCACCCTTAACTTTCATCATCAACTTTTCATATAGCATTTATTTTCATATCAATGTTCTACCAACAACAAATTCGCATATTTACACTTGAAGACAACGAGACAAGTCTCACCCGATAAAAACTCCCAGCGCTTCCTCTCCGTGTTCGACTCCAACGCGTCGAAAACCGCCGCGCCAATCAGCAAATAAGTAAACGTACACACTACCAACGACAAAGTCCTCACATTCTGCCTCTTCATCTTCACAGTCTGTCAAGAAGAACCGCGAAATCCGGCACACCTCCCAACGATTTGTCGTCACGTTTCTTTCTACACGTTCGATTGCACGAACACAGATCGCGCGCCGTTCATGCTTTTTGCAGGTTCAGGAGAATAAGTAGCAACATATTCTTTTTTTATACATGCAACGCTATCGATCCTTCGACGACATGTCACGGACTGAAAGATTCGAAGAGGAAAACGTCGGGACGCGTACACGATACACGAAGGCCAGCACGACTTGAACGATGCTCGGCACACGATTAAGGGAAGTATTGATCAAATCCATGAGCGACGGTAAGCTCCATGGAAACGTAACCAGTGCTGCTACAACAAGTTTGGCTATCGGTAAGAGCGGTGTTGCAGTAGAACGAATCGATCAGGAGTCAGGCAAAGAGGTTTGGTGTGGAGATTGATAAAGCAGAGTTGATATTAGAACAGAGGAGGTACAGAATAAACATGATACACAATACTTTTTCGTGTCTGGCGAGTTAGGCGTCATCTGGAACTCTTATTTTTCGTATCATATGTAACATTACCAATTAAGTATAGTTGTAGTTTATATCAAAATTAAATTTTTCGATTGTGTGTAAGTTTCCTGTTAAAAGTCAATTACTTATGAGGTTGCATTACAAATTATCAGTTAAACTATGTTTTAGAAATGTTTTATGAAAAGAAATTGAAAGGGCTGAACTTTACTATAGTAATTTTAGTCTAATATTGAGTGAGTGAAACATATTCCTGCTTAAATTCTATTTTTTTAATTGTATTTCTAAAAGCATTTTTCTTATACATCCGTAATCTAATGATAACGCAGATTTTCCAAATCTTTAGAAAGAAATCACGTAAAAATTCCTTATTAATATCCATATTTAATCCGTATATAATCAAATACAGCTTGTTCGTATTAATTAATAATGCTAATATCTTACAGATAATCATTACAAAAACTTACTAAAAAGTTACTTTAATGAAAACTAAAAATTATTAATTAAAAGATACTGTTTATTGATAAAGATTTAATTTTTCAATAGTATGAGTCGGTCACTGATCAGACACGATTTCATCATTGGATTGACGTTGGAAAAGCAACTCTTTCAGCTACTATGGATAATTCAGGAGATTCTTTACCGACCGGAAGGGATGATAAAAACACCCTTTACACCCTTCAAGAGAATATGTCGATTAAAAGGAATTTGTTACTTGGCACAGAGTTTCCTGGACTAGTACACGTATAATCGAGTTATTAATGCTACTACGGTCTAATTTTATGAGCAAGTTATGACCTTCGTCATTGTTCATGCAATTATTTGTTGCGTATAGACGTCTATTATTTCTCTCGAAAATTTCTTATTTTCTGCGTTCCTTACTTAGATCTTGAAATCAAAATCACGTCACAGAAATTACTGATATTTCTGTGAATTTTTATGTTATTTTAAGTTGCATTTCCTTAGTATCTATCTGAAGAGTTAAATGTTTACTGGATTGTCAAATAGAATGTCGTGTGCTAGTGTGCTATTCAAGACGCGCAGGAATGAAGAAAAAATATATAGGAGTGACTTCAGATCTAGGTTAAAGGTGAAAAAACCGTGAAAGCGCACATTTTATCGAGCGTCAAGCACGTGCCAATGCAATATTTCCTTGTTTAACGATATTAAAATAATACTAACCCTTTTCAAAAATTTTCTCCTGTTTGATAATATTGGAACAATATTACAACGCGGAAGTTTTTACAGAGGCTAAAGAAGTATTCGCACAGTCCTTATTTCCCGATAAATTGTTATTTATCATATTTTTATTTATTTGTGTATATATATAAATATTTATATATTTATTTATATTTATGAAGTATATTTATGATTATATATAGACACTTTCTGTAGCAATTTAAATAAAATTAAAATTAAATTGAACAATTAAAATCGAGGTTCTCAAGGACATCCACTGTAACTGGATAAGTCGCGCAATGATTTTACGTTCGCACGTTTCGTAGTTTTATTGCGGTTACACGTCTTACAGAAAGATGTTTACGAGCCAAAGTTATGACCTGGCGAAAACAGAAGGACCCTGTGTATAGCGATAATTATTTTATATACGAGAAATTTATATTATCGAAAAACAAGGAGAACTTGAAATCAGGATACTTGCTAAGTGAATACTGTACAAGTGAAATTTACACTTGTCGCTTCTGTAAACGTATGCTGTCAGAAATTTCTGGAAAAACAAAGGACGAGAAATTCACTTCTACTGAAAATTCGATAAAATGGAACAACATCTTTTTCCTGGTAGTGATTTGTGTAAATTTTTCTCGAAACAGCCCTATTCTTGTTTTCAACCGGGAATTAAATAAAACGTTAAAAGAAGATTAATAAAATTTCGAATTCCGCTTTTTAGCCTTTGGATTGCATATACAGTGACTTACAGAACCATTGGTCTCATATAAATCATAATTAATCTATATTGTCAAAGGAAAAATTAATTGATCAGGATTAAAAAGGCTCAATAGAATTAGTTAGGAAATTCAGCCAAGTTTGTAAAAATATGAATCTCATTTATGAAATGCATAAAATCAAAGAATAACGAATATAATAGGAAATTTAATAACACAAATGCTAAAATAATTGTATTATTTATAAGATTTTTGTTACAATATAGAATAAATAGAGTTTTCATGCACCACGCATATATCATACATACATATAAAATAATAAAGACATGAATTATAAATTTAATTTCTGAATGATTTTTTAAGTTTGTTTCATTATCTTTGAGCATATACATTTTCAGATTAGTTTCAAATTGTATCAATATAGTTATGATAACTGTGCCTCATTTCAAAACTAATGAAATTTCAATATGTTTCTTATAACATACATAACATATCAATCTTATGAAAGATCTCTACAAGTTCAAATATGTACTTTCATGAGCCACTGAGTGTTAAATTCATGCAATTATTTTGAAAGCAAAAATTCAAACAGAACATTGAAAAAATAAAAAAACCAGATGCAGAATGGTATGCAAAATGCGATTTCAACTTCAGAAACGTGTGTAGAACACAAACGATGGTGTAAATGTTTATACTGAATGGGGTTTTCGTTCGAGTTTCACACTTGATATTGCAGTAATTTTCTTTCATCCCACGCATCCTACGTAATGAATTTTCTACCAATTTTAACCTTCATTCTCCCATTGTTCCAGTTAAAACTACGTTTTCCGGAATCCATGGTGTATAATTATTTCCTTTTCAAATTACAAATCGTATCTCATAGAAGAAAACAATAACCATCAAAGTTTCTCAAATCGGCGAACTTATTAATTACATTTTAGTTAATGGCATTCCACATCTTAAAAAATTCCACAGCCTTTGCCCATTGAACTTAAAACCACATAAAACTTTCGACGTTTTTCACTTTTCCAGTAGAATTGTGGGGAACAAGCGATTCCTATGTGATAGCAAAAATTATGTAAAGTTACATCATGTTAGACAGATTAGCATAGATTATTAGAAAAATAATTAAATCAGAATTTTTTATTTATTCAAAATAACGATACGAAACACGCAATAAAGTTATTTACAAGTTATTTATAAGTTATTTACAAGATGAAAATAAACTACCAATCATTATCTTCCATGATAGTCTGATTTAAATTCCATTAAAAAAATATGTAATAAGTTAAAAAATCGGAAAGTTCAAAATGTTAATTTGACTTTATTATAATTCAGAATTGTTATAAATATAAATAGACAAGTGCCTGATCTACTAGAAATGTGGATAGTCAAGTTTAATATGCAATTTGTAATACAGCATTATATTTAGAAAGATGAAATATTTGTATGTGACCCTAATTCATGGGTCAAAAGTTGTAACTGTTGCTCTCAGAAAACAACGCTGACTCGTCTTGTCCTCTACGGACACTTTTCCAGGAAAATTGTCCGCTGATCTCCACAGGGAGCATGTTAATCGAAGACATTCGTACAAAACAATGCTTTGAGCTCGATTGTTAGACTATTTGCATGCAGATACCACCCCAGACGAGTGATCTTGTTTGCAGGAACGGGCGGATAACGAACGTTCTCGCTATATCGCTAATAATGAACGCCACACGGGGCTGCTACAAGGTGAAATAGCAAGAAAATTACCGTACGTTTCGTCGATCGTTAAAGGTATCGCCTGTTTGTCAAGAAAATTGCACTCTTCTTCGATCGTGCGTAGAAATTCGCCTTGAACGCGATAGCTCCGAATACTTCATGGAACGGAGAATGAAAGGGTTACGTGAATTCTCCTTTCCTTATTTTTCTCTATTTTTCTTGTTAATAGAAAAAGTTATACGATACAATTTTTCATTTTCTTCTTTTTTATTCCTTTTACGTGAGAAGTAAAAAATAATTTTATATACTGGTCTTGGTGATTCGTATAAAGTGCTGATTAAAGTTCAATATTGGCTGGTTAACGGAGAAGTCTAACTTTAGGGAAATCGATAACCGATTAATTGATAGAAATACAGAAACTTTTGGTAAATTTTATCGATTTTTACTACAAATATATCTTCAACTATATATATATAAACGATAGCATGAGATGATTTTTGCATAAAGTGGTTTTTTTGTATGGTTATAAATAATAGTATTTACACCATAAAACTAACGTAGTACGCTATACAACAGAGATACATTATACATATATTGGTATTTTATAAGTGAAATAATTTTTTAAATGAGTGATCATGCCAGTTATGAAGTAACTAATCTGCTAGTAATTGAACCAAAAGATACAATTCAATGATCAAAACACTTTATTTCAATTGTATGCAATATTTGCTGCATATTCACAGTTCTTCATAGTCGTACATTATGCTAGACATTTCACGTCCAATTTAAAAATTCACGTTCGCGAATATCATATCGTCCATCGACAAGGACAACGTGCTTTTCGATCAGAAAAGGTGAAGCTTGAAGGAACGAATCGTAAGGGTTCAATGTGAAAGAGAGTCGAGACATCGTTACCATTCAACATACTGTTAAGTCAAAAATTTAATAAGATCTGCAACGAATAATGCAGTTGCTATCGAAGGAAAAGAAACATTCTACTGGGAGACGATATAAGAAAAGTGGCAAATAAATGATTGCAAAGAGATGTCTCTTCCGTAAAGGATCACGAAAAGGAAGGCGAAGAGTTCGAGTAAGGACTGACGAGTGGCACGACTTGAAGAACATGCTAGCTTCGCTTTTTATCATTGCAACAAATAGACTGAAACGACGACGAGAAACG